TAATTCACAGATGGCAGACTCATGCAAGACAGCTTAAGTATTCTTTGAGGATACCTGCCTACCAGCCTGGCTCAAAGTGGAAGTTTCCCAGAACCAAAGCACACAGCTCACAACGTATCGTTAAAGTATGCTTACCATAATTGTCAGTGTCACAGGAATAAACCTCTTGTGGTAGGCAATAAACTACATTACACTAATGCTTTCTAATTAAGAGTGAAGTGCCTCCTCTCCTCCTTCCTTCTCTGCACATCATTCCATTCATCTTAGTAATGAATAATATTACTATGAAGATTTCTGGGCACAATTTGAACCAACAGCTCTAGAACAAATGGTTTCAACACTGACAGCCTCTGTGCTGACCACATAGCAAGCCCCTCAGAAAATCCTCATGCAGGACCTTCCAGCCTGTGGATTTGATACTTTGGAAGAAAGAAACAGAGGTCCCCCTTCCCCCCAGTGCCTTGTACCTTTATTTGAAAGGGTAAGAGTTTCTACAAAGAAATAAATAGAAATTTTCTGAATAACTTTCTCACAAATAGAAAAAAAAATGAAAATGCTAGAATTGTACACAGAAATATGAGGCTAGTACAACAGCATCAAAGCTGATATTTTATTCTAGCTCTACTTAGGGAAGCTTGAAAATTACAAACTAGCATAAATGTGATGAAAAGTTTGGCCAAGTGGAACTCCCAAGCTAGCAAGAGTTGCTTCTGGAGTCTTCCTTATAGTGGTGAGCTAAGGAGGAACAGGCTTAATTCCCAGTACATCTTTGGTGAAATGAGGATCAACAGAAGGTTCTCCTAGGCAGTGCAGTATTTTGGAGCCAAGAGAGACAGCAACCATGCATGTCTTTTTCCCAGTCTCTCACACTACTGGATATCAGCAAGGTGTACGTCAAAATACAGCCTGCCAAAAGTGTTCAAAGACCTCCATGTCGTAGAAGTTTTTGTATCTCAACCCGATACACTATATGCAGACCTATCCCTGGTTTATACTGTAATTTTATTACAGGCTTGTGGAGAGAATAGCTTAACTCAAAGATAAAGTTTACATAGCTGATTTAACATGCAAGGGGGAACAGAGGGATTAAAAGAAAAGTAAGCCAAACTATAGCCTCTTTTGTAAAGATTCCTTCCTTCTCTCAGAGTACTAACATGTCACAGGTGAAACATGCTCTGTAAAGGAATCATTACACTGGACCACAGAAAGTATAAACATTTGTGCATCAGAAGAAATGGCTGAGCAGTACATGAAGTAATGCAAGAGAATAAAAACAATAACAAAAGTCAAGAAGACAGGTAAAAGCAAAGAATTGGCAGCACTGCCTGGAGCACATCAAGGCCACACCATGTATAAAAGCACACCAAAAATGCAAAGCAGCAACTTCATGTTAAAACTTAATTTGGCTTCTTTGTCAATACAAAAAGGCTGCAGGGATCACACAGCATTAGCATCAATCAAGAACCAAGGAGACAGATAAGAATGTGAGAGCTAGCAGTCCTTGTTCTCCATGCCACACTACCACAGCTAATCCTGGTATCTGTGAAAAAATGAAGTCAGTTTTGTTAAAAACAAAACTTTCTGTATTGTGTGCTCATACAATGAGTTTTGCTACATTAATTGTGTCAGCAAAGTGGAAGAAGAAAACAAGGTTCTCATTCAATTATATAAATAATACCAGCAGAATTCATAGAAGTCACTCAAATTCCCTCAAATATCTAGGTAAATCCCATCATATTTGCAAAGAGGAGTACTAACCTTTCAGGAAGAAACAGCAGTAAGGCATAATAAAAATATGGTAAGGGTAGAAGAACTGTCTCAACCCAAGAGAGAAGGCATTTATAGTATGTTCCTGTTTGCTCAAGTGCACCACTTAGACTTTTGCTCAAGCATGCACATTGCAGGCTGAAACCTCCATTGATTTTTCCGGTTCTGAACAGAAGCCAAATAGATTGTAGCAGCTGTATATTCAACAATTTGGTGTGATAAGAAACAGACTGTCAATGCCAAAGCATGATTAGCATGATATAAAGCTTACAAACTTACCAAGTCATGAGTTAAGTAAAACAATATTTAGATGACTGATTGCACATGATTCCATATTATATTTACAATTATCCAAAAGCCTGAGATCAAGAAAAAAATATTGTGCTGAAAGCTTCTCTAATCTTATCATACTCTATGATGTACATATATTTTATCTATGCACAACATCATCATTAAGAGCAAGCCAGTTTTAAATTGTAGTCCCTGACACGAGCAGATTTATTCAGGAACTCAACCGAAAACAATACTTACTGCACACCCTCATGGTATAGAACAGGCCCCAACCATACATGCAGTGCACAGTACGCCAAATGAATTACTGTGTGGGAGCTGGAAGGAAATAGCTCATGAACTTCTATTATATAAGCACTGCTATTTTTGAGCATCTACTGCAGCAAACATGTGACTTGAAGCACACAAGACAATAGCTTTGGTCGCAAAATACCCTCTCACTCCAAGCCTGCTCTTACAGAGCACTGCAGCTGTGGTCTGTACATTAAAACACTGACTGCCCATCTAACTCTGTACCTACTCTACAACTTAGGCCAATAGGAGTCACTACTGGTTCTGCTGGAAAAGGTTTCCTTCAGGGAAGGGTATTGTCTAGACAAATGGAGCATTTTAAAAAGAATAGTGTTTCCCAAATCAGAACTGACAGAATATTTAAAACTGGCACTGCCATACAAACTTTACCTGTTATACCCAATAGTTGGGATACCAAAAAATGCAGTATCTGTTTCAGGTGCTCAAGGTTTCCAGGCTTTGAACACCAGTCAGAATGCTGCCATAGAAAAGTTCAATGCAAAAAAGTTTACAGCACTCCTAACTCCCTATTCCCTATTCAGATTAACATATTTTTGAACATATGCCTATGAGAAGTAGGACTGTAGTGTTCTTAATCCCCCAGCCTGCGATGAGGAAGATGATGATGTTTGATTATATAGACAATAAAAACTGCTGTAACTACTCTTAATGCATAAACATTTTCTCTACACTATTAATTAGATCTTAGGAAATTTGTTTACTTTTCAACTGCCAACAGGCAATACAGAACACAGTAGGGTACTGGGACAACAGGGATTCTCCTTTACAAAGCCAGCATACTTTGTCTTAAGGCAGGAGTTAAATGAAGGAACACACAAGGAAGATGGTGGCTGTTCTTCCACAAGCCTCAAAGATTTGTACTAATACACTTGCCACAAAAATAAGAAAATAGTGGTTTACAGATGGGAAAATGACAACAGCTTACTAGGTATCCCTGAGATCCACTGCACAACACTGTGGGCACACAGTTAAGCTCTATCAGCAGTGCCTTTGGGGTTGTTTTTCTCAATTGAAGAAGTCTGGTTACCCAGCAGATGCTTTTAAACGCCGCCACGCCAGAATTCAGGCAAAGGTGAGTCCAGTATCTGCACTACAAATTTTTCAACAGCCACAGGCTGACAGGAGGGCTAGCATAGTTTTCCCAGTTAATCTCCCTCCATCTCTTACTGCAATCTTCGGGACTTGAAGGAAACAGTATTTATATGCTTCCAAATTGTTATAGGTTTGAAAAGAGGTGTTGGAATGTCTTTCCAATATCAATTACTAGGTAATGTGCACCTAGAGTGAGGCCCCAGTCTCCTCCCCGTTTCCAGGGGTAGAGGGGGTCCGGGAGGAGCGAGGTCGCGCGCAGAAGGGCACGGGAGTGGGAGAGGGTTGTTTTTAAACTGGCCGGCACCACAAATTGGGGCCTTGTTTGTTGGTATTCCTGCCAGTCACCCCACAGAGCCGGCAGCCAGCTTTTTGTTCTCCAATTCAACCTCCGAGAAGAAGCCTTCCCCTGCCTGGCACCGCCGCTGGGGATCGGCCCCAGTCCTTCGCCGGCCATCACAGGAGCCGCACGGATAAGCCCCAGGAGAGCCCCTGCCGACTGTCTAGGAGCGAGGTATCTGTCCCCAGCCACATCTGCGCCAGTGCTGCAGATCAGAGCATCTCCCTGAGGCGGCTGCCTGGTCCCGCACCGCCCGACACTGCGGCTATTTATTTCCTGAGCTGAGGAGCCCGGATCTGTTGCCGAGGGCCGCGCCCGTAGCCCTGGGACCAGCGGGGAAACCCCTCATCATGGCTGGCAGTAGAGCCACCATCGTTGACGTGGCTGTGAGCAGTTGCTGAGCCACGGGGAACAGCCTGCGGAGTGTCACAGTGGGCCATGGCAGCTGCCACTTGGGGAAGTAGAACTTTGTTTTGAAAGTTTTGGTTGCACCACTGTTGCTTATTCAGGTTTGTTATACATATAGATATATATATACACACATGCTAATAAAGAGCTGTTATTTTCCTTTTCCACACCTTCCCCCTGAAGCCTCTTAATTCTGAGGTTATAATAACTTGGAGGAGTTTGGTTTTGTTTTTTTTTTTCCTAATCCACCCTCCCTAGCAAACATTTGTGTCTTGTTAAACTAAGACACATGTAATTTCTCCTGGCAGACTGGAATCTGTAAAAAAACAAAACCCCGAATAAATTCACATTCAATATGTGCATCATAGTGTTTTCAAGGTAGTGAATGCATCCTTGGAGAGTCTTAATGCATGACTCCTGAGAGAGCATATGCAAAGTCATTTGTTAATACCTGAGCCTTTTATCTGGAACAAAAAATCATGTGCCCTTTCCTTACAGTGATGCATTTTTATTAGGGAGCCGGAAGACAGACAGGTGTACATCTAAGCTCCAGGTGAGAAGTGTGTTTATGTAGTTTTCCTCCTGAGGGTGTACCTCTGTACAGATAGCATGTAATTTAGCACAGAGGTTCTGCAAAATTGTAAATTTACAGCCTGCAAGCAATTTTGACAGTTATTACCCCAAAGCACAAATCAAAGTAATAAGACAAGAGACCAGATAAGGGAATCTTCTTTTTTTTTCCCAATTTTATTGTAATAAGAAGAGTTAATAAAACCTTTGTTTCAGTAAAGAAATATTAAATTCTAATTTTACATGTTAAAATATTATAACCATCCTATGACTATTTATCAATGGCTGGGACTTCGGTCATTTTCACTCGTTTTCATACACCATCTACAGCAATCAAAAAATCAGTTTTTTTGGTAATCCTGAAAAGTGTAAAATCACATTGTTAGCAAAGGAAAGGGGTCCAGCTCTCTCCTCAAGATTTGATACCATTGTTGATATATATCTACTGTGAACTGCTTAATGCTGCTTACTACAGTGGCAGTACATGACTTCTAATGAACCTCAGAGAGTGATAGAATCAAAGCACACTTAAATCAGTGTGTGCTCCAAATGAGTCACAAATTCTGCAGTTAAGTATTAATTATATTTGGGATACATGTAAATGTTTTTCTTTAATATAAAAAGCTAACCAGTCAACTGTTGGCATGAAAAGCTAACCAGTTAATCCTACTTTGAAACCTAAAAAAAAGCAAGCTGTTCTAAGCCTTAACCCTGTAGCACTACACTAACACTTAATAATTTTTTTTACATGCTGACAGATCCAGGACAAATTCTTAACCTTAGATATGAACAGAATGGCTTTACTTTATTTCCAAACCAATGCAGAATTCTGATATTAGGCAGATTCTTTATGCTGCATTAACTCAGGAAAAAGTTTAGTGTACCTACAGCTCTGTAGGAATGCAGATCAATAGGACTGCTTCCTGGGGAAGCAGTGCTGCTTTTGATTAAGTGCCAGAGTGAAGATCGACAGTGATGTCATCATAGCATCAGTGTCTCCAGTACCGCACTGAACAGAAATAAGTGGCAGCAGCAGACAGAAAATATGCATGCGTAATACTTTTCACAGGGAGTCATCCATCTGGTGACAGTTTTTCCCTCACAATAGAGGCTGTTTTCTGAGAAGTACTTAAGTTTGGTGAACACACCCCACAGGCTACAGGATTTTCTTGTTGTGGAAAAGCAGCACATAGGGTGATGGCAGTAATCTTTCTCCTGACAGTCAGGTCCTGATACCAGTATTTTACAAGAGGGTATCCATCAGTAATCACTCAGTCTGTTCTCCCAAGCTCTAGGGTGCTACCTGGACAAGGCTAAGGAAGTGTATTGTGCAGGATGCAATGGCAGGCCAGTCTTAGGAATTTCAGGGAATGCACCTTATTTTTCTTTGAAATTACTTTAGCACATTTCCACCCTCAATAGCAGTAAAAACATGCTGTCCTTCAAATGTTATTTAAAAAAAGATGTTCTTCCAAACATCTACTCAGATTTTAAATTCAGGTGGTAATGCTATGTAAGGATGGCAAATGAAATCCAGGGCAGCAGATTTGCTAGCTCTAACATTGGCTCTCTTTTTAAATGTTTGTTGGCACTACCTTTGAGACCTTTTGATTCTGTCAGCCCAGCTAAGGCAATAACAAAACATAATGGAAAATCCATATCAGAAAATCCATTACGTTTCCGTTCCCACTTAGTGGATGATACTGCTTTTTATGCTGATACTCAAATGTCTCAAAAATTAATGCTGACTTCTTAAATGCCTCATTTATACTTAATCTCAAAACTCCTAGCATTTAACGCATACGCTTGATTTCATTGCTGAAGATAAGACTTTCTGAAAGATGTTAAAGCGGTTATTGTTCTAGCTTGATACAGCTCTGGAAACTCTGCCCATTGTCAAATACAACAATTAAGTCACAGAAATCAAAGAAGCATTTCTCTTTTTCCTGTCCTTTAGTTAACAGGCCTTTTATAGGGCATGTACTCCAAAACACTAATCACAAGCCCTCAAATATCTTTGCAAAAGGAGCTAAAAAGCTTAAATTAAGTGCCTTAGCTACTATAGCTTGACAAGTTCCCACATATCAGTTGACCGATGGTACTGGGGTCAGTAAAAACAGTGTGCAAGTAATCAGCTGATTAAATTTTATTTTGAGGTTGAAATCTTAAGGTGATGAACCTGGTGCATTTTACTTCTAATTTGACACAGACAAAGAAACAACCATTCAAAGTGCCTAAAAGTTAGTTAAATCCTAATAATGTAGTTGTCTCTCTGAACTCAAGAGGAAACACACTTCTATGGAAGCATCTCTATTACAAAAAAATACCACTCTTGTACTAAAGTTGAGTCTTATACTGGCAATAACAAAATGGCTGATGGTAATCTGACAGTTGCTATCTAGCATATTCCAGCTGTGAAAACCAACTCCAAGTTTAAGAACCAATATTTGCCTCTCTGGTAGAAGGTCTGAGTAATTCAGCATCAGATAGAGGTGTTGAGTCCTGAGCACTTTTCTTGCCATGAAGATATGAAGAAATGTTGCTGTTTGGGGAAGACTGGAGGAGGGTCACAGAAATGTGCCTCATGTTCCTTACCCAGAGTGGTCTAAACAATTAACTTGCTTACCTTATGAGAAAGAAAGCAGAAATCTCTCAGAATCTGATCTACATTTTCCAGTCTGTCATTTCACAGAATCACATGCTATGTTTTGGACTCTAACACTCCTTTCCTCATTTTGTTTTGTTTTAAGTACTGTGAAGTTAAATTACTTCCATCTAAGTAAGATATCTCAGGAAAAAAAGGCTCATCATAATAGCCTATAATTTACTGGGCAGTATCACACACCATTAAAGCAATTAATGGAATTGGATATTTCTAACAAATAAATCCCTAAGCATCACAGAAGAGTCTTTTTTGAACTAATTCTGTTAGATTGCAGAAGTAAGTCATTCTTACCCCAAAGCATTTATCCTAAACCACAAATCACTGAAGGGCTTCAGCTAGTGTTGGTGCCTAGGGAATTAATCCATTCAGAGAGTTTGTGTTCATGTAGCATGTGAGCATGTAGCAATGTGAGTGTGTAGCTCCTATTTTAAAATCAGTGAAATATTAAGAGGTTACCTTGATCGATTCCTTCTGTTCTTTTCCTTTTTAAATTTAAAAGTGCATTTTGTTGTTCCTTTACAGCTTCTGCAGGACAGTTGGGTCTTGGCAGCTGATTTCCTGGAGTGGGTCCTGGTCGGTTACTGAAATACTTCTGTTTCAATGCCTTAATGATAATGGAAGAAGAATAATCACATAATTAGCATTAAGTGTCAGAATACCATTTATAAAGAGGTTATAATGAAATAAAGCACTTGCTATTGGGACTTAAAAACTACTTGGACACTTTTATACTAGAAGGTGGCCTTAGGGCAAATCGAGTGTATGTTCTCAATTACTATGTACTTAGATTTTGGTAAAGCAAGGGATAGGTGTGTACTGTTATTTTCAGCTAGTGCTCAGACATCCTAACAAAACTTCCAACTACTTTGCAAAAGGTCTTGTATAAGCAGTTTCTAGCTCTGAAGAGCTCATGTTCTGAATCGACAGATGAGACAAGAGGATAAGAGTAAAGTAGGAATAAAGAAAAATTAAAGGAATATATCTGAAGTCTTGATCAGATCCAGGACTTGGACACCAGCTGTTTTGTTAGCTTTTAAGATTTCTTTAACTGTGCTGTTTCTACCCCATAAACTATGAGAAAGACACAGATTTCTATTGGAGCAGAAGACAAACACAAGTGAGCAAGGTTGATTTCATGTAGTGGAATTACATACCCTATTTTAAATTTTAGGAACTTCACAGCCTCCATAAAGTATGGTTAACAAAAAGTGGCTAAGGTGTCTCCTAGGCAATCATTACTCCTACTAATGCCAGTTACATGATATTCAATGCCAGTTATAAGTCAAACCAATACTGTAAGTACAAACTGTTTCCTGCCTTAAACTGTGGCATTGCCAATAAATAGTCTAGACTGGAAAAATACACTGTCCTACAATATGATCTGAAAAATCACTTCATACATATGAACTGGTGTCCCAAGCATAGCATAACTAATTACTTGGAAACTTATACTGAATATTCTTAAAGACAGTGGCCAAGAAAGTCTGAATGTGCTCTGAAAAAGTCTTCTAGTAAAAAGATACGTAACATCTACACTAATCCCGTAGATTCAGATCTGCCTTGTCTAACCAGCAATGTGGGAGTCCTGGCCTTAAAGGAGCAACTCTGTTTCTTGCATGCCTCCCTAACAGTGTAAAGAGACAGAAATACACTTATCAAACTGCCAGCTGGTGTATCTTCCTCATTACAGAAATCAATATTATGAACTAGATCATTCTGCAAGATTTTCCTTTGAAGTCCTTAATTTCTCACCATCAGGGAGTAATGAAATTGAAAGTATAATGGAAAAGGGTATTTAGACAAGCACTGAGGTTTAAATCACCACAGAATTTTATGTTAAAAAAGCATCATGAAAGTTTAAATAACATTGAAGAAGACACTGGATGAAGTAAGGCTGAAAATCTTTCAAATCCAGGGAATAGGATATGCTACGTTAAGACTTAACCTTCAAGCTTTAGGTGATTGAATTCCCAATGTCAAATACAACTGTCTGAAGGCCATGACTCATACACTTTTTAGGTGTCTACCTCTGCTCTACACTGGGAACAGAGATAATCAGTTACATTATCCATGCCTTTCAGAGTTCTCTTTCTAAAACACTGGGATTATGTTTCTGGAAATTCACGTAACATTTCATTTCAAACCTGGCTTACTGGCTTCAAAACACATTTATTTGATATTAACAGTAGGTTAGTGCACATTAGGACATAACTGAAATGTACTATACCTGAGTAGCCGTAACCCTAGTGCAAGGATTAAATGTGAATAAGCCTTGAAGAAGATTGAGCAGATCATCACCAGCCGCACTGAAGATATGTTGAAGTGGCATTCCAGGGAAAGATTTAAAAGTGACATAGTCTGGAAGACTCGTCATCCCCTAAAAAGACCAAAAATGGAATATATGTTTTTTACTTCAGGGTTCAGCTTTTCACAGAAAGCAAACTTCATATGGCTGCCTTTCAGCAGAAGCAAATCTTCTTTCAAAACACCTTGCTAATACTTGGTCACTGAAATAACAAATGTAGGAGTAGTGGATCATAAAGACTTTTTCTTTTTCAGTAACTGCTGCAGTTGTTTTACACTTTCCCTTTTCAAATGATCTGTCTTTGCTTTAACAGTGACCAGTCCAAAAGGAAAAACTGTTAACAAAGAAAGGAAGTATGAAAGGACTTTAGAGTGGATGCAGAAAAATGAAATAAAGGTTCCTGTTATGCTATGACATGGTGGAAGGGAAAATATTCACAAAAGAGCAAGTCTTTCTCCACATTAATAAAATTAACTGTATTTTGAGCTACTTTTGAAATGCACAACTGACAATTTATATGGCCTGTTGGAGGACAGAAGGAAAATATACACCAAGCAGTTAAACAAAAGATGAACTGCATACTTTTTTTTTCTGTAGGTATGAAATCAATCCCATTGTATTCAAATTCTAGCATAAAAATGATCTTGTAGCAATTATCCAAATGTAATACTTTAGTAGTATTTTAATTATTTAGTCATCACACTTCAGTAAGTTTGTCCAAGCAAAATAAAATATTAACAATAAAGTGAAAAATGTGCTCAATCAGTTACAATCTTGATGGTAGAGTTTTCAATTATTGAAATGCATGGGCTTGAAAATTAACTTTGGGATGCATCATCTCTGTTGTGCTAGCCAATCTCCTATTCACTCCTTTCCCCACCCATATCTTAACTCTTCCTCTCCAAGGAAGGCAGAAATGTCACTGCAAAAACCTTTATGTGTTTCATTCAGAATCCCACAGCAACAGCAGAATTGTGTGGGATTAGCAGTGCCTCATACGGTATTTCTCCGTATGGCTACAGCTCCATTTCATGACCATGTACCATAGCATTCCAGCACACTTCACACAAAGGAAAGGCAGCATGGGAGGGAGCAGATGTTAACAAGTACAGTGAGTGCTTCCATAGCTCAAAACCAATTCCTGATCAGGGAATTCAGAACTACTGGTGCGAGTTGCTCATCAGAAGTTATACCCCACTTCTTGTCAGTCTGCCTAATATCCATAGTTAGGTAGGTCAGTATGTGTCCTGACAGTAAGTTTTGCCTAGTATTACTGAATTTATTGTCACTTCAGAGATAATTATACTACTAATTTGTATTTCTTACAGTACCATTGCTGAGACAAATTGTTCATTTCTAAAGCTGTTGATCTGGTGTTTCTTACTGTATTCCAAACTATAACTTACCTTGGCCAACTGAGATCCCTACACATGGTTTCTACTTCTGAAAGTGATGAAAGCCTTACAGGTTAAAGCACAATTCATTAGCCAAGCATTCAAAAACATTAAGCAACAATAATTTCACACCAGTAACCATAGGAAACTGTGCACACATGGAAAGGAAACCATAAAGTGTTGTTAATCTTGCTATTGACCAGAGGTTTATCAAGAGAAACAACAAATTTAATCTCCTCTGTGAGATGAGGCAGCTGCCTTCTGAAAACCTACTCAAGTATTCTGGTATAACCCTTTACTTAATTTAAAATAGAGAGTATCAAGTAAAACTTATGTCAGTCTCACAAGGACTCACAGGCCACTGTTCTTCTGTTGGAGTGCCCAGTGTTTCAAATATCCTTGTCAGCTGGTCAAGATCAGAGTCTCCAGGCAAAAAAGGAACCTAGAAGGTAATAGCATTTGATTTAATTAACTTCTGAACTTCAGTTTTAGAGCAGAGCTTTGAGTCATCACTCATAACTGCAGGGCAAAACACCCCTGTATAGCATCTCCCCACAAAGAGCTACATTGAATATTGAGGTATTCTACTGATGTCCAAATAGATTCTGAAAGTTTCTTGAACCTGGGCTTCATAATGTTGACAACAGGGACCTAAACATAAAATTACACATAAAATTATTACAATTTAGTAAAATAACTAAATACAGGGAAGATTTTGCATCTTAGTTGTCAAAGTCAGTTGGTCATGGTGACCCTTCCATCATCTGTTCCCTGAAGTTAGCTTTTATATATATTCAATACATTTAAAATGAATTGTAACTGCATTACAGAAGTTAGACTGAGGAAATGAGATTTAAGTATGAGGGAGAGTAGAGACCCACTAGGATAGAAAACAGTCTTATCAGTATTACATGTTATTTAAACTAAGCAGACTGAAAAGGGGATATCTGCCCAGTTCAACTTGTACCTTGCACAGCCAGCACACATTGCAAGTAAAAGAAACTTTGAGACCAAGGCAAATTTATAAAGAATTAGAGACAGTGTTTAAGTAAGCAACACAGAAATACCCACACTAAATTTTGACATCATGAAAGCCCCTCAAACATAAACTGCTTTCATAAAGCTCTCAGAAGCTGCATTGTCTTTAAAAAGGACAGATACATTTAAAAACACCACAGTGATAAAACTGAACCATAATACATTTTCTACTTTGTGAGAAACCAAAGAATCAATTCAACAATTCAACAAATTCAACAATTTATTTGTTTTCTGACTTTGCTTCAATTTAATCACTACCAGGTCTAGTGCATATTTATGTACACGTCACTAGTGTTCATTAAACAGCCAATATATATTTCCATGTCTGAACTGCCAACCACATTGTACAGCATACCTGTTTGGTGTGGCAAACCAAGGCAAAGGATTTCTTTCAAGGTGATTTCACACAGACCAGTTCCCCAGTCTGGTTATGAGATAGTCACAAAAGTATTTCAAGTATGGTGCAGAAACCAAGCAGAAGCAACTTAGTCATAGAAGATAAAGGATACTGCAGGTACTTCGTGCCTTCAGCTGTGTCTGTCTCCCTGCCCTTCACTCCCCCCAACCCCGACACTTTCATGTCTTCTCCAAAGAGCTGCATAGGAAACGTACTAGTTCAGTAAAACATAGTTAAGGACCATGACATCTGTGTACCATACAAAAGAGTGCCATAGGATTATCATAGTGTTAAGCATCATCTTCATTCTAGTATTGCCCACTAACCACAGTTTAAACAAACATTGCTCTTCTGTTTGTGGTACATAAACCCACAATTAAGGTGTTGGTGCTTATAATTTACAGTTAGTGAGGAACAATGTATAAGGGACAGTGTATGCATGTATCTAGGATGTCACATTTCTAGAAGGCTAGGGAGTGAAACTCATAGAAGGCTGTGTGAAATTGTAACACTAAGAGTACTGGAAGAGTTACCTACTTGGGATCTCCCAAGGCAATACTTCTGACAGTTTTTTGCAACTTTTTTACCCAACCATTTTGAAAGATTTCCAATGCTTGTGGATGCTTATGAAACTCAGTCTATTGCAAAACTTCACCTTCATTACAGTTAACAAGGTTTTGGAAACTTTCTTCTAGCCTGTCTTTACCTGCTACTGTTAGGAGAGAAGCAGCCCACATAAAAAGCTGTAGTGCACTAAAGAGCAAATACAAAATGCTTACATTTGAGGACTTACCCTGAGGAGCAATTCAGCTAAAATACAACCAACAGCCCACATATCAACACCAACACCGTACATTCTAGCCCCAAACAATAGTTCGGGGGCTCGGTACCACCTGGAAAGAAAAAAATTTTGGGAAAATCACCTGACTTTGCTCATTGCAAATGCTGTATCATTGTAGCAATGCAAATACTAAAACGAGGATACTGCTTCTGCCTATCTACTTTTCAGACACCGAAGACCTGTAGTCTACCCTACGAAGTGTTTTGTTTAAGAAAGACTAAAAACATTTGTGCATTCCTCACCATAGAGTCACACACAAACACAAATTAACTGCAGTTTCAATTGGGCTGATTATAAGCAATGGAACTGCAGACACGCCAAGGAAAAAAGTTTTTAACTTGCAGGTGTTAAAAAGTTATAAAACAAAATTTTCTTAAAATTTTATGTTGAAGGAATGACAGCAAGACAGAACTCCTTCCAGCTTCCAAAAATCTCCATATCAACAAACCTAAGTATTGAGGCTAGCTTTATGCAAAATGAGTTTTATTGTTTAAAACAGCTACTTAACACTGCCTCGGAACAGTTAAGTGTAATGCAATGAACCTGATACACACTGCTCTTGAAACTACTGTAGAATTCCTGCCTTTTGAACAAAGATGTTAAAACAAACCAACTTTGCATGAATAGTTTTAGCATTACAGCAGTCAGGAGGAAACACACTGCATGTTTTGCAGCCCTGCTTTTTAAAACATACTTGAAATAAGCATGCCATAAAGACCATTAAGAAATATTTTAATTGGTTCAAGTGTTTGTCTCATAATAGGTAATGTGACTAGCTAGGTCTTGTGATTAACAGAAAGTAGCAGCTGTCTTGGTCCCAAAACCAGGCTTAGAGGAAGATACCTATTATTTCCATGTATTTCAAAAGAGTATCATACCAAAAAACAACCCCAGGATGCATACTGTAGCAGTTCTTACGGAGATTTTGTTAAACAGTGTTTTCCTGCATGTTCTTTATGAGGCTCTTGCCACATAACATGAATTAGATGCTACTCTTTGAATATGTTAATATGATATGAGAGAGATGTCAAGAAACACCTACAAAACAATTAAATAATCTCTTTGTAAGAAACAGAATGTCTTACCTTGTTACTACTTGATGTGTATAAACTCGATTTGGGCTTCCAAAAGATTTTGCCAAGCCAAAGTCAGCCAATTTTAAAACCCCATTTTCACCTAACAGCAAGTTATTTGGTTTAAGATCCTGTCAGTACAGAAAGCAAATAATGAATTTTGTCAATACTGATAAAAGCATACCTATAAATGAATCTACTGGCAAATGTATCATAAGAGTATTCTAAAATTAAAGCTTTTGATTCTATCTGAAGTCTACATTGTGAGAAAAAAAATCATAAAACACCACAAATTGAGTATTTAGTCATAGAGGAAAATCACAGTGAGACACACCCATTTGAATATTAACACATTAAGCTGCAGAGTATAAAAACGCCACCTGATAGGTTTTAGCTTTGCTGCAGGAACAACAGTTCTGTTAACTGCATAGATGCCAACTGAATAATAAAAAGACCTTGCAAATGTTTCATATAACTGCAGAAATTATGGAAGTAATACAGTTTAATTCAGTAGCAGTGATTTTTTGGGCTGACCCCTGGCCGGTAGAGAAGCATCCACATAGCTACTTGCTCATTTCATTCTCATGCCAGATGTACAAGCGAGAGAAGACCAAAAGCAAGAAAACTCCAGGAGCACTGTAAAGGCAGTTTAACAGGTGAAGGAAAGAGGAAAAAACAAAAGCAAGCAATGCAATGGAAATCATTCACCACCTCCCACAAGCAGACAGATACACAAACCATTCTCCAAGACAGAGGCACCTTGGAGGGCAAAATCCCCCATTCTTCTCTAACGCAGGTTTTTACTAATGATCATGGCATTATATGGTATGCAATATCCCTAGGGACAACATGGGTTAGCTGCCCCAGTTGTGTCCCCTCCTCAATTCTTGCCCATCCCCAGCCTACGCATCAGGGCCAGGGCACGGTGGAAAAAACAGAATGCCTCAACAGTTCACCTGCTGTGAAAAAAGTTCAATCCATCCCAGCCAGACCTAGTTCACAGTGACAATTAAAGTCACATTTAACTGGAGAACCTTCTGCATAAGTATCTGAGAGAAAAAATGCATCAGTAATTCTGACCATTTCTGGTATTTCTATTGTCTCTCCAAAACAGGTAATATGAAACCTTATCGAGTGAGAGTGTCTGAACTCCAAAACTACTTTCATCAGACTTTAGACTCAAATTTTATCCCATGTGTGTTTTGTTACAGCATAAAGGCTGCCAGTTTAGTACATGCTTACCCTATGTAAAATCCAGTGTTGATGCAGATATTCTAATCCTTGAAGTGTCATCAGCATATATGCCTTGATGTGAGACTGCGTCAACACAATACTTGTATCCTTTATAATAACCTGTAAAGTTTTAAAGTGACAGAAAAGCCCAACAAACAAGATAAACTTATTACTATTCTTTGAGCGCAAAATTTTTCAGGCTTAAAGAAAAATTTCAAACAGAAGTCACATATTCTCTACCATTCTCAGCCTTTTTCCAGATCAGAAATTGAAATCCAGAGCCCAGATAGCCTACATGAATTTTCCCAGGTTAGCAGGGACTTCTCCGGATTCCCAAGAACTGCTCAAAATCACCAAGAGGTTTTGTGATGACATCAGCCAGCACCTTGAGGATTCTGGGATGAGTCCCATCAGGCTGCATAGATTGTAGGCCTCCAGCTGGAACAGCAGATCCCATGCAAGTTCAGGGACAACTTGGAGCTGATCATTCTCATGGTCATGGGGCTCCAGCTCAGGGCACTGAGACCCCCTTGGTCCATCATCCGTCTTGAAGACAGAGGCAAAGAAAGCATTAAACACCTCTGCCTTGTCTCTGTCCCTGTTTGTGAGGTGACCATCCTCATCCTTTAACGAGCTGGTGATATTTCTATACTGCCAATTACCGCTAATGTATTGGAAAGAACTCTCTTTGTTGTTCCCCACGTTTCTGGCCAGCTTCAATTCCAGTAGAGCTTTGGCAGCACCATTTTTCTCCCTACAGTGGCAAGCAGCATCTCTGAATTCTTCCCATGTCACTTGACTTTGCTTTCACTGGGCATACACCTTACTTTTTTGTCTTATTTCCAAGAAGAGGTTCCTGCTCAGCCAAGCCAACCTTCTGCCTCATCTGCCTGTCTTTTAGGAACCTGACTTTTAGGACTTTCTGGTATTTGGGAATTGCCTGCTCCTGTGCCCTTAGGAGGTGAAGTTTAAAAAGTGACCAGCACTGATGGACCTGGGCACTCCCAAAAACGTTTTCTCAGAGGACCTTACTTCCTAATTCTCTGAGCAGTCTGAAGTCTCCTCTCCTCATGTCCAGAGCTGAGGTTTTGCTGGCACTTTTCCTCCTGTCAACTTCGTGGTTGAATCGGCCACGAATCTCCAGTTTGCTCACAAGATCTACTTTGTGAACAAACAGCAGACCAAGGAGGGCATCTCTCTGAGTCAGCTCCCTTAGGACCCGTTCCATGAAGTTGTCATCCAGGTTTTTTTAGGAATCTTCTGGCGCAGGTTGTACTAGGTGTCTGATGCTCTCAGTTAATTTCTGGCAAGTTGAAGTCCCCCATAAGGACCAGGGCAGTTGGACTTGGAATTGTACTTAGTTCCTCCAAGAATAATTCATCGGTGTCATCATCCTGGTTGGGAAGTCTGTAGCAGATTCTCACAATGACATCCCCATTATTCTTGATTCTTACCCAGAGGCTCTCAACTGTGCCACTGCCCACTGTGAGCTCCATACATTCTAAAACTTCTATTACATACAGTGACACCTCTCCACCTCTTCTGCCCTGCCTATCCCTCCTGAAGAGACTGTAACCATCTAGCAGGGCACTCCAGTTACAGTTTTTGTCCCACTGGGTTTCACTTAGACCAATGATATCAAATCTATGGTGCTGTAGCCAATTCCTCATGAACCAGATTGAGTGCTCGTTTCCTCAAGTTTTGGCACACCATTCCATGGCTTATCACTGGCCTGTGAGGCTGGTCTTGTCCCTTTACCCCTTCCACTCTCATTTAGAGCTCTGTCAAGAAGCCCCACTAGTTTCTGTGTTTCCGGGTTTCCCTAAGCACCCTAGGCTTTCACCAGCACCTTGACAGATCAGGACTACAACCACCACTTTGACCAATAAACATTGAAATTGCAACAACCAAGTCTCATGAGCGGATCCAAGAGGTGTTTTGCAAGTCCTTCCAGTCTCCTGGGGGATCCGCAGCCCTGCTCCAACTGCCTGTACTGGCACTGCAGCCTCGCTCCATGCAAGCATCTGCTGGTATCAAATCCCAGCTATCTGCCATTTCCTGCCAGCACTGACTCTGCAACCATTCCTGCCATGTTTTCTGGGTGTGGAGGTGGCACTGGTCTCTGTCCTGTGGCCACATCTGTTTTTTCCAGGTTGAGGAGGCCAGCTGCCATCTTCATTGGGCGGAGCTTGGGAAGTCTCTCCTCATCAGTTTGTTTAAACCAGTTTTAACAGTATTGTCATTAGCATTTCTTCTTGGTAAAGAGGTACTTCTTCATTTACATCCAGGTGTATTTGGTCTCTCTGTACTGGAGAAACCAGGGGTATTGAATCCAAGGGTTAAGACTTCTGTCTGAGGTCTCCGCCCCTCCAAATTATCTCAAATTGAGACACATAAAAATGAGAAATGTGTCACTGAACTTAAATTTATGTTCCCAGTTATTTCTTCTTTATCCATACAACCTAAGCAACTCATCTTTGTATTTACAACAGTTTCCTTTTCTATTTCCAAAAAGACCAGGAGGTATGGCCACTTTACTAAATTTTGAAAAGTACATAAGTTTTCCTACATTCTTTGATTTTTAATATTAAAAATCCATGCAAACACCCTGTTTGAAAGCATTTTCTCCACTACTCCTCAAAATCTGCTTGTTAATGCTATTGTCCTGTTCAGTAATAGCCTTTCGTAAGCTTTAAGCTGTTTGAGACTTAAAAGAGACCTAAGACTGCACAAATTTCATGTATGCTACAATGCTTAATCACAACAGGCTGCAGTCCCAATGGCAGGCTGAGTGATACCATAATACAGTTTAAACGCTTTGCGTACCAGAGCATCACGTGGTACAAGAGTATTTCATTCTTCTTTGCGTACTGATCTTCAGCTCTAAATGTTGCATGAACGTAAACAGCATGAATCCTCTAAAAGTCTACTTTTTACTAACATCTATTAGCACAAACCTGACCTAATCTTTCCATTCCTGCATTCATCTAGGTTTCAGCAAGCCTGTCAGTATTTCCTTTTAATAATTCAAACGCTACCCCCAGTTCTTAGCAGCATATATATAATGAGCTAGCTTAACAACTACATTGATTTCAGTTCAGAGTAGATATCTTGTGTGCATATACAGTCATGCATTGTTGTCTAGTACAGTCTTCCAAAAATGAAGATTCTCACATCAAAACGTCTCACACAAAGACTTAGGCAAAGACAAAGGGACTTTTGGTTTTGGAGCATGAAACATTTTTAAGATATTGATTTGCAATTACCTAGCATTGCTATATTTGAAAAACATGTTTCAGATACACGCAATTTTAATAGCAGCTCATCACTTGGTATATTTCAGTAGCACACTTACCCGATCATCTTTGATATTATGTTTAGCAATTGCACACTAAGAAGCTGATCTATGACTGAGGTTCTGTGCTCTGACTGGAGTTACAGAAAACTAACATAGTAAACACAATGTGTTTCTTGAAGATCATGATGACAGGTATTTAAAAGTAAAGGAACTAATCAAACAAGAACTCACAAAAATTGAAATTACTCAAACTACTACTAAGACACAATCTTCATCAACTGACATAATCAAAGTCACCTTTCTAATATGGGCAAATATAAGCCTGATAAAATAGCATTCTTTACAAACCATCTTAAGATACTGAAAAAAGAAGTCTTAAAAAAAATCTTACCTCTAGATCTGTTTCCATAAAATCAAACACCAAGCTAATATTGGACTTGTGTCCAAATGCGTCTATGAGCTGCAAAACAAAATACCCTATGATTAAGCATGCTCTCATGCTTCCAGTTTTCTGAAATTCAATACCACTGTAGACTGCAGGTGGATTTTCAGCTTTTTGAGAACTGGTTAATGTTTTTTGATTTGCAACACAGAAATTCTTACTCAGTTTAGCTTCTTAACTCAGTCTTCAAAAACTCAGAAAAAAAATTCTTATTAAGTATGGTAATAACATTTTACACCACAATTGCCCCTCCTCCCTGGAGGTAGGAAAAAAGAGAAAGAATTAACTTTATCTTATACTACAACAGATAGCGTAATGCACACCTTGTCCTCTCACCAAACTTCACTGTACTACAAAACTTCTGCTCTTTATTGAGTACAAGACTAAGTTTGCCCATGGATTCAGCTCTGGATATCTACTTCATGTAAGTATGCAGCATTTAGAAATTCTAAGTGTTAGGCTTATTAACTTCCTTTCAGATATTCTTAGGTGTGTATTCATCTTTGTAGCAAGCTTTCCAGGAAAAATAAAACTCTTTGGAGAATATCCAAACAGCCCTTTCTTAGGATTAAGTTGTGTAACAACAGAACAAGTTTTTAATTTGAGATAGCACAAGCGTGATGCCGAGTAAAAACAAGAGTTTAGCTAGCCTGGTATTCAACCTTCAAGCTGTGGAAGGTATGAGCTCCATGATGCAGCTCATTCCTTAGTCTCAGTGTGATGGCCATGTGAAGTGCCCAATTGCAAGACAGTCGTTTAAACAGTCCATAACAACAGCGACTGTGCCCCTTGCGCTCCCAACATCCTCAGAAGGTCTGTCAGGACTACTAAGCAAGGTACAACATTGTCTATTGCCTTTATCACCTGCTTACAGAACTGCTGATCATAAACTTGCTTAACTCCTTTTTGAACTGCTGATGCTATTTGGTTCTACAATGCCCAGGTCAAAACATTTTAGAAATTCATTACACACTGAATGAAGCAATACAATTTCCACTCCCGCTGCAAATATGTTTTAAACACACCTCTTAATTCTGGTGCTACAAGGTTTGGAAATACCAGCACTGCATGTACTCTACCTACCACCTCGGTTTTGCAGACCTCCCCATTCCTAGCCTTTTCCTCTCCAGAGCGAGGAATCCCTGACTTTTTCATAAAGGAGATGCTCCATCCCTTTGCCATTTTAGTTGTCCTTCCCTGCATATTCTCTAATTTTGATAGCTAAAGCAACCACTTTGAAAATAAATTCACAATCCAGAAGAAAATGATACTTCTGCTCTGAAAGTCAAAAGTATCTGGAAAATTTGTATGTAGTCTAATATTTATGGAAGACTTGTAATTATCACTATGAGCTAACTTAAAGTATCTCTAGCTCCAGCAGAATACCTGTAGCTGTTAATCTATCAAAATGCAACTGAAACGATACTGATTTTACTCCTTCCAACAGAGATTTTAAACACCCTATCTGTGTGCTACAGCCTAATAAGCCACATGACCTTCCCTTTACCATTGCTTACGAAAGCCTGCTTTTTGACTGTCTCCAGTTCCATATGAAGCACACATTCAGGTAAATTCAGCACTGCATTCATTCACAATTCTGTCAGAGAGATGCAAAATCAGGTAATCTAAATTTCCACAGTTCTTCCCACCATTAATATCCACATAGTCCCGGGCTGAAAAAGTGAAAGGATTAAAAAAAACTACTTTGCCTTTGTTATTGAAGTTGACATTTTGCCACTATAATTGTTATACTGCCTACCTTGGGCTGGGAAAAAAACCTTAAATAATATTAGGTAACAGCTCCATGACACAACTACTTCTGAATTTCAGTCTGAACCTGTACCAAAAATATTTAAGGACTGATTCTAGAAGAAGCATTCATTTTACTTACACCAATAATATTTGGATGGCTTAGCTCTTGCAATAGCTTTATTTCCCTGAGGGCTGTCCTGTTGATTCCTACATTGATGGCAAGAAAAAAGAAGATGAAAGAACAAAATTAAAAACTTTGGATTAAGTTCCAAATAAAGCTCTCGTTCTGTTACTCACTGACAATTTACTGCTACAAATTACATTCTCACCACTCAACGATTTCTAAATAACAAGTGCATTGCCATAAGTAAGTAAATTGCTGCGGAATAAAAGTGGGCATACATTTTCTTCCACAGCACATACATTTTACACCACAGTAATCCAGTTTAGATTATGAAGCAACAAGTCTCCCTTTTGGCAAAAAGGGAAAGTCTTAGCAAAAGCCTAGGGAAAATATCACCTTTTACATGGTACTGGAAAGTACAAATTCCTCCTTGAAAAATGCTGATATGTGTGGCTTGTATGAAAACTGACTGGCAAACAGTGGTATGTTTTACAGGAAGATTTAGTTGCACATGAGCTGAAAACAGTGTTCTCCTAAAACCTAGGATAAAATCCAATGCTAAGACTCTGGCAAAGTTTTGGGCAAAGCTACATGGATTACTTTACACTCCTGCTTTGCCTATTTTAATCACCTATTTTGGAATCAAGTTGACAATGGCTGCTTTTGGGTGGGCAAAGACTTAAATGAAAAAGAAAAAAAAAAGAAAGAAAGAAAAAAGAAAAAATAAAAAATAAAAGAAGCACGCCATGTTATAACACAGGGAAAGTAGACATAATCATTATTTTCGATAACATCTTTTAACTATAGCTAGACACTGTACAGACCAAAGCAATAACTATCCCTAAGGGCCATTAGCCCACTGAAGGCCAGGTGGATCACGACTCTTGGGCAGCCAGCTCAACTGAGAGACTCTGTGAAAAGTTTAGAATTTTTTTTTCCAGAGGATGGCACTGGAGAGTTGATAGCAAAGATTGTTCGCTCAAAAGCTGGTAACTTGATGCAGAATCCCTGAAGGACAGCATCCTGCACACAAACAAAATTCTACTACACCACACAAGCTGTAAGAGAAGATCAAGATTAGCGAGTTTTGATTTGTAATATCCACACCTAGAGGCAAGTGGCTGGTCAGAGTATACACTCTACAGTGCTGAACATCAAACAAATCCACACAGAGACAAGAGTTGTAAGATCTTGGCTTTAATAGAACAAAGAAAACACCTGAAAACAGACGCAAATACTCTCACCCATCTTAAAAATTAAAGAGATGCATTAATACAAAGAGGTATTCTAAAGTGCTGATGCTGTTGTCATTCTTCTATGCTATATCCATGTCTGTATTCCACTAAAACTGAGAAGCTAAGCAGTTATATACTCATATTTAGATATATACCATGCATGCAGATATCTTTTGTCTGTCCCTGCAGTTTGCAAAACAATCCTCTACTAAGCCTTATGGGCACTGAGCTCATTTTTCCCAGCTAAGGTATGGTATGTGAAATGTAGTATTTTACAAAAACAAAGCAAACAAAGCAAAGCTTCTACAGTAAGAATTTGTTTTAAAACTCACCATCTTTAGCTTCCGATCTATGTCCCAGTTTAATCTGAAAATAAATGTTTCATATTATATAAGATTAAGACATCTGCCCCAACAGTGGGGAACACATTCTTTGGTATTACTCTTGTAAAACAGAATGAGTTTCGGTATAATGAAGCAATTTACCAGCTAGGTTGCTTTTAGTTGTTTTGTTTTCTGTGGTTTTTTTTTTTCTTAAAAAAAGAACTGTTCTTACAGCATTAGTTTCTACAAAAGCTTAAAAATAGACATGATGGCACTGAAATCAGACATAATGCAAAGTGACAGAATAAACTGCTTTGTAGCCACAAAGCTTTATTATAACATTAATTAGTTTCTTCTCAGGGAGAAATGAGAGCCAAGTAATTGACAATTATCTTAGAATGATTCTAGTAGAATTAGCATAGGCTGTAAGCTTGGGCTGTAAACTGGGTAGTCCTTCTGCCTCAATCATCTACTGCCCTGAAATTTCAAGTCCAGAATCCCACCATGGATATTTCCAGATGACAAAAGTTAAGAAAAAATTCTGATAAAACCAAGAATGCTTTTCACAACAGCTGCTACCAGTAGCAACCATACAACAGAAGTATTACAATGCTAAAAGGGATTAGTGCATTAAACAAAATTACTTACTATTGATACAATTCAACTTGTCGCCTAAAGTAGGGTCTTTAACTAAAAAAAAAAAGTGCTGTAATGTGCATTTCTGTCCTTTGCAAAGCATAGCTGAAGACTCATTTTTAATACAAAAACTTCCTGCAATCACTTCAGATAGTAACAAGTGAAACACTTCATAACAACATAAATATTTTCATCATTGGTATCGAAACAAGTATGTTGCATATTCAAGATCACTTTCATATTTTAGCAAAAAACTACCATATGGGTAAGAAACATTACTGGAAAACTTTCAAGTCTAGTAAGGGTTTCTGACTTTACTGGCTGTTCAAACTGCCAGCAATGAAATAAAAAAGAGAAGTCCTAGGGCAATCAAAAGAGACTTCATGGCCCTGGAACGATTGGTTGCACGATCAAAAGCAGAGGTAGTGTTTTTCTTGATCCTTCTGGTAACAAGGAATAATATTGATAGGAATAAGCAGATTCATCAAGTCAATGCATGAGTCTAAGGCTGGTGTAATAATAAAAAAATTTTTTGTTCTTTGAACAGGGGATGATCTACTCAACACCTCATCTACTGACACCTGATGGGATGCACCTATCTCAGCGGGGACAAAGAGCTCTAACACAGGAGCTAGTGGGGCTCACTAATAGAACTTTAAACTAGCTTGCAGGGGGTAAAAGGATAAGACCAGCCTCACAGGCCAGTGATAAGCCATGGAATGGTGTGCCAAAACTTGAGGAAATGAGCACTCAATCTGGTTCATGAGGTATTGGCTACAGCACCATAGATTTGATATCATTGGTCTAAGTGAAACCCAGTGGGACAAAAACTGTAACTGGAGTGCCCTGCTAGATGGTTACAGTCTCTTCAGGAGGGATAGGCAGGGCAGAAGAGGTGGAGAGGTGTCACTGTATGTAATAGAAGTTTTAGAATGTATGGAGCTCACAGTGGGCAGTGGCACAGTTGAGAGCCTGTGGGTAAGAATCAAGAATAATGGGGATGTCATTGTGAGAATCTGCTACAGACTTCCCAACCAGGATGATGACACCGATGAATTATTCTTGGAGGAACTAAGTTCAATTCCAAGTCCAACTGCCCTGGTCCTTATGGGGGACTTCAACTTGCCAGAAATTAACTGAGAGCATCAGACACCTAGTACAACCTGCGCCAGAAGATTCCTAAAAAAACCTGGATGACAACTTCATGGAACGGGTCCTAAGGGAGCTGACTCAGAGAGATGCCCTCCTTGGTCTGCTGTTTGTTCACAAAGTAGATCTTGTGAGCAAACTGGAGATTCGTGGCCGATTCAACCACGAAGTTGACAGGAGGAAAAGTGCCAGCAAAACCTCAGCTCTGGACATGAGGAGAGGAGACTTCAGACTGCTCAGAGAATTAGGAAGTAAGGTCCTCTGAGAAAACGTTTTTGGGAGTGCCCAGTGTCGTGGTTTTGCCCTGGCTCAATTTACTTTTATACTCCCCATACAATTATTATCAGTTGAGAGAAGGTTTATGCAGACAAAAAGAGACTGAATTAAAAAAAAGTATGAGTATTTATTATTAACAAACTAAAACTAAAGAATTATATTTACAACAATTCTACTTAAGTAAAAGGTATTATGTATTTACAGAAGATACTTCCCCCCCACCTCCCTTTATATCAGTCCAAGGAGGAGAAGCAGTCCTTTTCTGTTCTCGGAATTCCAGCTCTCTCTCTCTCTCTCTCTCTCTCTCTCCAGTAACTCTGCAGCACTTTCATCGCAGCTGGAACTTCTTTATCTCTCTCTCTCTGTGTTGGCCTCCAAGGCTGGGTCTACCCCCCCTCCTGGGCTAAAACTGAAGGCTGGGGGTTACCCAGGTCCTGAAGGTTCTCCTTCCATAGGCTTGCAAGGGGACACTTGCTTACTATGGATCTTCTTCCACAGGGTTACAGGGGATAATGGTTTAAGAGTTCACCCCTGTTTCCCTATGGAGGTCCCTCCCCATGGGAGAACAGTCCTTGATTGACTTCTCGGCATGGGTCTAGTCTGGATCCCTTACTCGGATCCCAATATCCCACCTGAGCCGTTTTCTGCTCCAGTGTAGGTTCTCTCAGGGTCACAAAGCCTTCAGCACCAGCAGCATGGATCTCTCACTGAGATCCCAAGCTTATCTGAGCCGTCTCGCTCCAGCATAAGCATCATCCCCTTCGAGGGTCACAAAGTCTTTAACAGGACTGCTCCAGCATAAGGCTTTTCTCTTTCTGTTAAAGTCACAAATCTCTGGTGCATCCACAAGCTCCTCTGTGAGCTGCACGGGGGGTCTTTGCACCCCAACAAACTTCTACAGGTGGCAGGGTTTTATTTTTTAGTCTTTACCCTGCTGAAGGGAGGGAGAGCGAAAGGGAGAAAACAGCAGCTCTCCCCCCTTCGAACTTTTCTTCTCTCCCCTGCAACTGCCAGCTTTGACCTTGGAAGTCCTGTTATCTCATGGCTGGAATTCTTCTGCAGCGGTTTCTCATCTAAGCAGTTCGTCTTTTAAACCTTTTTTTCTTCACTCTCTCACAAGAGAGAAGGGAGACTTTAGTGCCGCACCTGCCCCCCCTGCCCCGGCCCAGGGCCGGGGGAGGAGGGGGCCTCGGCCCTCCTCTCTTCTACATGGCTGCTGTTCCTAATTTCAACTGCGACACAACCTTCTCTTCCGTTTTCTTAAAGATGTAATTAGCAAAGGCGTCACTGAACTTTTTGATTGGTTTTTTGTCCGGAAATCACCTGGACAAAACCATCCTCAGCCCCAGGGATGGTCTGGTGGGCAAAACCACAACACCCAGGTCCATCAGTGCTGGTCACTTTTTAAACTTCACCTCCTAAGGGCACAGAAGCAGGCAATTCCCAAATACCAGAAAGTCCTAAAAGTCAGGTTCCTAAAAGACAGGCAGATGAGGCAGAAGGTTGGCTTGGCTGAGCAGGAACCTCTTCTTGGAAATAAGACAAAAAAGTAAGGTGTATGCCCAGTGAAAGCAAAGTCAAGTGACATGGGAAGAATTCAGAGATGCTGCTTGCCACTGTAGGGAGAAAAATGGTGCTGCCAAAGCTCTACTGGAATTGAAGCTGGCCAGAAACGTGGGGAACAACAAAAAGAGTTCTTTCCAATACATTAGCGGTAATTGGCAGTATAGAAATATCACCAGCTCGTTAAAGGATGAGGATGGTCACCTCACAAACAGGGACAGAGACAAGGCAGAGGTGTTTAATGCTTTCTTTGCCTCTGTCTTCAAGACGGATGATGGACCAAGGGGGTCTCAGTGCCCTGAGCTGGAGCCCCATGACCATGAGAATGATCAGCTCCAAGTTGTCCCTGAACTTGCATGGGATCTGCTGTTCCAGCTGGAGGCCTACAATCTATGCAGCCTGATGGGACTCATCCCAGAATCCTCAAAGACCTGGTCACTGTACAACCTCCCCCAATTATTTTTGAGCAGTCTTGGGAATTCAGAGAGGTCCCAGCTGATTGGAAGCTTGAAAACAGTGTCCCGATTTTCAAGAAGGGCAAGAAGGATCCCAGGCCCGTCAGTCTCACTTTAGTGCCTGGTAAAGTTATGGAGAAGATTATTCTGGGAAGTATTGAAAAACACCTGAAAAAACAATGTAGTCACTGGTCACAGCCAGCATGGCTTCATGAGAGGCAAGTCCTGCTTGTCAAATCTGATTCCCTTCTATGACAAGGTAACCCAGCTAGTTGATCAAGGAAAGCCATTTGATGTAATGTTTTTGGATTTCAGCAAAGCTTTTGATATTGTCTCCCGTAGTATTTTGGATTAAGTGTCCAAATATATATACAGCTGGATAACCATGTTAAATGATGGGTGAACATCTGGCTCACAGGTTGGACTCAGAGGGCAATAGTAAACGGCATAACATCCATTCACTAGTGGGGCTCTAGAGGGCTCCATCCTCTGTCCATTTCTCTTCAACATCTCATTACTACTTGGACAAAGAACATAAGGAATACTAAGTAAGTTTGCCAGGGACACTAAATTGGGAGAAGCTGTTGACTCCCTTGAAGGCAGGCATACCCTGCAGAGAGACCTCAAAAAATCAGAGATGGGCAATCACTAACTGTATGAAGCTGAACAAGGGCAAGTGCCGGATTCTGCACCTAGGACGGGCAACCCCAGATGTACGCACAGACTGGGGAATGAGATGGTGGAAAGCAGTGCCGCGGAAATGAACCTGGGGGTCCTGGCTGATGGCAAGTGGAGTATGAGTCAGCAGTGCCCTGGCAGGAGGGCGAACCATGTCTGGGGGCAGGGGCATTAAGCAAAGCATCACCAGCTGGTCAAAGGAGAGGACTGCCCTGCTCTGCTCTGCACTGGTGTGGCCTCATGCTGAATATTGTGGAAGTTTTGGGTGCCACAATATAAGAAGGATATTAAGCTGTTAGAGAGCATCAAAAGGAGGGCAATGAAGATGGTGAAGGGCCTTGAGGGGAAGCTGTGTGAGGAGCAGCTGAGGTCACTTGGTCTGTTCAGCCTGGAGATGAGACTGAGGGGAAATCTCACTGGGGTCTTCAACGTCCTTGTGAGGGGCAGTGGAGGGGCAAATACTGATCTCTTCACTCTCTTGACCAGTGACAAAACCCAAAGAAACAGCATGAAATGGAGTCATGGGAGGTTTAGGTTATATATCAGGAAAAAGGTTTTTCACCCAGAGGGTAGTTGGGCACTGGAACAGGCTCCCCAGGAAAGTGCTCACAGCACCAAGCCTGACAGAATACAAGAAGCATTTGGACAATGCTCTCAGGCACATGATGTGACTCCTGGGGATGGTCCTCTCCAGAGCCAGGAGCCAGACTGGATGATCCTTGTAGATCCCTTCAAACTCAGCATATTATATGATTCTGTAAGTTCTAAGGAACTTAAACATAAGTATCATTATGGACTGAAGGAAATTAGGCATAGCATGAGGAAAGATTTAAAATAAAATTAAATTAAGAGAAGCCACTACTGAGTTCTAGTAAAGTCTACAGTTTGGAAATGTGTATGTTGCTCGGTGTTTGGGCTTTTTTTGGAATATACCAAACAAATAACCAGAAATTCAAGTAACAGATCATACAACCTTTCAAAAACATAGCAAAGCTAGTCTCTCTTCTAGGGTGGGGTGGGCATTACAGACACGTGAACTAGATAATTTAAACCAAATACTCTAGAAACAAAAATGCATATTATCCCACTGCCCATTAAAGCGGTTTAAAAAAAAAAAAAAAAAAAAAAAAAAGTCGTTAGGCAGGTCAAGAGGAACCAGACACCTGGTGACACAATGAGAACACACTCTGACACTCACCTTCTTAATCGCCACGATTCGGTTATTGGTCTTGTCCCTGGCCTTATAGACAGTGGCGAACTAGTGAAAGGGAAGGAGAGGGAGAGAGATGCTGCCGTGAGCAGGGCTGTCGGGCCGTGCGAGGGGAGGGCCCCCGCACTCCGCAGGCCCGGGGCGGGCAGGGCCCGGCTCTCCCGTGCCCCACTCGCCCGTAGCCGCTCCCGCCGCAGCCCGGGGGCCACACGGGCTGCTCACCTGCCCCTCCCCCAGGAAATCGAGCTTCTCGTAGCGCTTGGCGCGCGCCCGCGCATCCATAACCGACGGAATCCGCAGCTCAAGCTCTGCGGCACCCGCGGGGCGGCACAATCCCGGGAATCACGGGATCCGGGGCGGGGCTTTGAGCCCCTGGCCGTGCCTCTTCCGGCCCCCGCACCGCCCCCGCTCTGCCACCTGCGCCAGGGGCGGCCGCGGGTGGGGTGGGGTGGAGTGCCGCCATTCACGTAAGGATCTGGCAGTCCCCTCGGGAATACCGTGGCCTTGTCACTGTACATGTCTCCTGAAACAGTCAACAGGCTGTCCCAGATGCTGCTTCTGTTTTGACCCCAGTCTCAGGTCTCGTATTCGGCGAAAACTCAGCATACTCTGTGCATAGAGAGATAACTTTCGTGACGCAATAAACCCATTGTTATTGTCTAGAAGGAGAGCTCTCAGCCATTTATTAGATTTTACTGGAAATTCTTAATTATACTCTTAAATCATCTTCATTATGAGCAATTATTTACAATATAGTTCTTAAAACTACCATTCAGTAGCTATCAGAGGTAAATACTTACTGAGAAATTTCTCATTTGAAAATTAATTTCCCTACATGCCTAACCTTTGCTGTTCTTTAGTAAGTTACTCTGTGAAGAACAGCCATCATCTCTGGGAGTACATCAGTGTCTCTTTCCTGTCTGTAAAATCATTCCCAGTGAAATATCCTGGTGAGTCAGCCTCACCTCAATCCCTGGAAAAGTGATTGAGAATCTCTCTGGAGGCCATCTGTATCCACATGGAGGACAAGAAGGTGATCAGGAGTAGTCAGCATGGGCCCACTAAAGTCATGTTTGATCAACCTGATTGCTTTCTGCAATGAAGCATTCTCTACCTAGATGGATGAGGGGAGAGCAGTGGGTATTGCCTACCTCAACTTCAGCACTTGGACACTGTCTCTTATAATATCCTCATAGGCAAACTCAGAAAGCATGGACCAGAGAGTGGACAGTGAGGTGGACAGCAGATCCCTAGGGATCTAACTGGAGGCCTGTCACTAGTGGTGTCCCCCAAGGTTCAATATTGGGGCCAGTATTGTTTAACTTGTTCATCCATGATTTCGATGAAAGGGCGGATGCCTCCTTAGCAAGTTCACTTATGACACAAAGTTGGGAGTGGCCAATACCCCAGAGGGCTTTGCAGCCCTTCAGAAGGACCTTGACAGGTTGGAGAGATAGGCAGAGAAGAACTGTCTGAAATTCAACAAGGACAAGGGCAGGTCCTGCACCTGGGAAGGAATAACCCCCTGCACCAGCACAGAATGGGGCTAACCTGCCAGGAAGCAGCTCTGTGGAAAAGGACCTGGGATTCCTGATGGACAGCAAGCCGCCCATGAGCCAGCAGTGAGGCCTTATGGCCTGGAAGGCCAATGGTGCCCTGGGGTGTATTAGGGAGCATTGAGAGCAGGTTGCGGGAGCTCATCCTGCCCCTCTACTCATCCCTGGTGAGGCTTCACCTGGAGTGCTGTGTCCAGTTCTGGGCTCCTCAGTACAAGAGAGACATGGAACTTCTGGAGCAGGTCCAGCAGAGGGTTACAAAGATGATGAGGGAAACTGGAGCATCTTCCTTGTGAAGAAAGGCTGATGGAACTGGGCTTGTTCAGCTTTGAAAAGAGAGGACTGAGAGGGGACCTCATCAATGTATGCAAGTATTTAAAGTGAGGGTCTTAAGAGAATGGATCCAGGCTCTTCTTGGTGGTGCTGAGCAATACCACCAAGGCAAGAAACTGATGTGTAAAAGTTCCACCTGAATGACTGCACACTGATCAGACTGCCCACAAAGCTTTTTGAGTCTCCCTCACTGGAGATGTTTAAAAACTCTGCACACAATCCTGTGCCATGTGCTCTGGGACGACCCTGCTTGAGCAGGGAGGCTGGACCAGATGACCCACTGTGGTCCCTTCCAACCTTATCCATTCTGTCATTTTGTGATCTCAATCAGTAGAAAAATAAAATGACTCCGCTAAATTGTTGACTTTGCAAATGGCTAATTAGAAAAATATTTTAATATATCATATATATCCAATTGCTAGTTACCCACCAACAGAAAATGCTTCTCCATCACAAATCGGTATCTCATGTGTTGTGTCACCCTCATATGGGTTTTTATTAAAGCTATTAGTATACAATAATTTTTAGTATTAAGGAAATGCCTTTATTGTGAATATAATACTTCATTCTTCAGCAGTGGCCAGCAAACTATCTTCTACGCTTATTCTGGACCTCCACGCTGTAGAAGAAAAGCATACAGTTAAATTTCAATTCTACTGAACGTAAAACTGTAATCCTCTTTTGCACTACTACAGACTAACAGAATTCTAGTTTTAATTTCTGATTAAAACATTGATTTTTTTATCTGTATAAGAACACACACAGAGTGCCCAATATCAGCATCTGTCAATAACAGTTCAATTTTTTTCAAAGGAGAATAACAAAAAAAATTAACACATGCAACCCACAGTTACAGCTGCTTTCACTTCTCCCTCTCTGAAGAGACCTGAGTCTTACCCTTGAAAGGTTCAACAAACAATGGTTGTGAACACAAGTTTTAAAATTACTCTCATTGCCCGCATTCCAAAGGGCAAAGTAAAAAAAAAAGCTGATGTGAGCCATTACAATCTTTATGAGAAGCTAGAAAGTTATTCAGTTCATTATCTTCCCAACCAAATTCTTTTACAACTTAACTCACTGTTAAAAAACTTTATGCTAGAGGTCAAGAACTGTATTACTATCAGAAATAATTGATTTTATTTCTACTACATTAATGCAGCCTACCCACATACTTTCAGGAATACTGTTTTTTTTCTACTAACGTCATTATGCTGTATGTGTTCTTACCATTTAACAAAGCTTTGCAAGCATCTTTTCAAATTCACAATCACTTTACAAATTCTATATATTTTGTGCATTCTCCAGTTTTAAGCATCAGTATTTACAACTAAGAATTCTTACAGAATAAGCAGGCTTTTCTTGCCTTTCATGTACAATGCCATATTTGAAAATATTGCAGAAAATACTTATATCAAATTTAATAAATTTTTTGCTACCAGAAATACAAGTTCATTTATTAATACAGAACTTAGAAAACTAGTTGGAGAAGTATTGTGGACTTTGATTATCTGATAATAGCCTTTGCTGGTCTAAGAACATACACCTGTGCTCGTGTCCAGCACAGTCAAATTACACATTAAACAGCTGTTATAAAGCAGGTAAGGATGGTGATTAACATAAGCTGTGATTGTTGCCAGCTTACCTGCATGTCTGTTCTAAGTCCACATCTCTCTAGTCATCAAGCTACTAATCAGTGACAGTTGGGTACCTTCTTTTTTAAGAACTTGTAGCTTGGTCATTGTGCACCAAAGCCATGAAAGATCAGAGCAATACACTTCCCAATAATTAGAATGTAATATCACAGAAGGTGTAGAAATAAGCTAAAGAAGAAAACTTACTTGAATATATTCAATCTCTTCATCTGACATTTGTTTCCTTCTGTATTTCTGAGGTAAGGTTCTCGCTAATTCAGAAGTGTCTGGTGTACCTTGTACTCTACTAACAGGTGAAATATTTTGAAATGCTGGTGATCTGCCTCCTACAGACTCCTGTGCTTTTGAAGCATGGAGAGATGTCACACTTGGCTGTAGAGATTCCTGTACTGAAACTCAAATTGCAAAATCATTTACAGAAATACTACCAGTCTGTAAAATTAGTAAGCAACCATTAAAAGAAGCCAGTGTTTGAAAATCTTAGAATTAAGTCATTCTTCTTCTCACAACCTGGTTTTATTGTTGTCAAATGCATCAAGCGCAGCATCTAAAAATTCCGACGGTAATAAAGCATGTTTGAGTGGCAGAAACACTGATGTAGAAACAGAAGATACATCAGCATATACCCTAACAATGGCTTTTTCACTGTGAAGCTGTACTTGGAGTAAAAGCATAAAGTACTATAATGTATGTTTGTGGGCAATTATGTAGGGAGATAACTAAGACAACTAAGATCACTTTTCGTTTATGACAACTGTAAAGACAGACAAGTTAAAAAGAGGTAGAAGCTTACAAAAAGATAAGCTCACAACCAAAACAGCAGACCATAACATGTAATGCAGAGCTGTACCCATCTTTAATATTAAAAAATGCCACCGTATCAAATTTTGTTAGTGACATGCAGAATGACCACCAAGTATCAGGCATCAGCAATCAGTGTTAAGACATCTCCTACTTTCATTTCAGATGCTTTGTTGACCCCAAAAGGACTACTAAAACAACATACTGCTAATATAAATCTGAGGTTTAAATTTAACAGTATTGGAAATACCATAAATATCAACATAGATACAGGTATAAAAGTTAATGGCAAAGATGAAATTATTTTTTTTCTTCAGCATTAATTAGTAACACAAGGAAATACTTCTAAAATGTAGAATGGGATGGCTCTCCCAGCTATAATCACGTTTTGAAAATACTGCAGACATCACACACTTCAACTAAGAAAAAATGATGAAAATGCAACATCGTTTCTGCAAATATCACTGAATATCTAAAGCTGCCTCAAACTGACTTGGGCACAGTTATTTCAGGTAAACATTAGTATTTGGAGAAATGTGACTTTTATATATATAAAAGCAGAAAAGCAGCACTGGAAACCTTTGTGAATCTGTCTTGAGCAAGAAATAAAGACATGCTTGCATTATGTGTGCACACACAGTTGTACAAAGTCTGTAAAGAGATAAAGAGTTGCCTTCAAATTAAACCAAGCATGTTTCAAAAATCCTGCTCCAAACCAGTGGAGTTAAGATAGTTGAATGAGAAAAATTGTGTGCTGGTTCCTATATAAAACAGTCCACATAAAGAAATGTGGCACAAGTTGTATCCATGCATGAAATACTTACTTTTAGGTCTGGGACCACTTTTTCTGTCAGGGAACTTAATTAATGGAGTATGGGGCTTGACTACCTAGAACAAAGCAAGGTAGTGGGAGAAACAAGAAGAAAAAAATATTTCTAGAAGCCAGTTACCTTCAAAATAATAAAATGGAAAGTACAATGTATCAAACAACCACACTGTACTGCTGCTCTCTGTACTTCTACTCTGATACACTTACTACTTCTTAAAGGTCTAAGTTTACCACAGAAAATTTCATTTTTAAAGGTATTCCTTCACCCTGATGTCCAGACCAAGTACAGGTCCAGACCAAGTACAGGTGTTATCTTCCTTTTCTCACAGCAACAACAGTGTGTGCAGAAACAGCCACTGCTGTTGCATAAATGCAATCACAATGCAATCTGCTCTGCTGAGATCCCACCTGGAGTGCTGCGCCCAACTCTGGGGTTCCCAAAACAAGACCTGCTGGAGTGAGTCCAGAGTAGGGCCATAAAGAACAGAGGGCTGGAGCACCTCTTGTATGAGAAAAGATCTCTATGAGAGACCTGGGGTTGTTCAACCAGGAAAAAAGGCAGCTCCGGGGAAACCTTACAACCCAAAGAAGGCAGATTTATAGTAGATATAAGAAAGAAATTCTTTACTGTAGGGGTGGTGAGGCACGGGCACAGGTTGCCCAAAGACGCTGCGGCTGCCCCATCCCTAGAAATGTCCAAGGCCAGATTGCACAGACCTTTGAACAACCTGGGATAGTGGAGGGTGTCCCAGCCTATGGCAGGGGGGCTGGAACTAGGTGACCTTTAAGGCCCCTTCCAATCTACACCCTCCTGTGGTTCCATACAGCTCTAGCAGACAGAACTGCGACCTGTACGTTCGGCCTGTATCATGTGCTTTCACCTTGGCGAGGGACAGCCTAGAAAAGAGCTGCCGGCCAGCGCCGCACCCTCTGCTATCACAGCACCTGCGACACCCGTGGGCACCACCGCACGCCTCTCCCCAAGGACACCGGCCTCCCCGGCGGCGTGTCCTCAAGCCACGACCACCTCAGGCTTCCTCCTCGGCGGCGGCAGCAAGCGAAGCGAGCCTCGCCACTCGAGCCAAGGCTCCGGCTGCCTCAGCCCCGCGCTGTCCCGGGCCGCCCTTACCTGAACTGCCCTGGTGGCGGCCGCCATCTTGCTGCCCATGGTGACGAGCCCGAGGGGCACGGCGGGCCCCGCCCACAGTGCGGGAACGCCCGCGGCGGGCGGGCTGGGCAGGCAGGCACCGCCCCACCCCCATAAGCGTTTGATTCTTATTACTCGATCGAAGGGTTCCTACAAAAATTGCTGGGTAATAGAAAGACATAGCACATGCCCCGAAACATGCTACACACCCTAAGCTTTAATTTCCTTTGGACATCAAATGAGGAAAAAAATTAAAAAAAAAAAGGAAATGCTGGTGAAACTATGTAGATAAAACACGGCTTAACTGCATAATCGATAGCATTAAGTCACCATTTCAGACACAAGTGGCTGTTAAAAACTAAGAGTATAAAAATTCTACTGTTTCAAATTATACAAAGTGCTTTAATGGCAAAAAAAACCCCAATTCTAAAAACTTGCTGAAACGTTTTTCCAGCTTGAGTTTTTCATTGGGACAGAGAAGAGTCATGCACCCTGCCCGAGCTCTGCAGCCTGCTCATTCCCAGGAAAAGAGGACAGCAGAATCTTGGTTTAAGTCCACTTTTACATAAAAGCTTGAAATACACAGATTATTCATCTTTCTTGCATTACTGCTGTCTTTCAGACAGAGATGAGGTCTTGGGACAGGACAGGTATGGAGTGGGTCTTCGGGTAGTTTCACTTCATCAGTCGCACTACCCACTTAAATATTTATTGTGAGCCAGAAATTTAATTTCACTTCACAGAGTTGCATGGACACATTTTGAGTCTCTAGAGAGAAAAACAATTTTCCGAAAGGTTAAATTTTGAAATTAATTTGTGTTAAAAATTAAAATAAAATTAAAAATAATTCCTGCTGATTCACGGAAGATAGACATTTTTTTCAAGCTGTAGAACGATTGCCTTTAAAGATGGATCTTCTGCCCAGTTAACTCCGCTTCCAATAATGATATTCTGTAAAAAAGGAAGACTTATTGATTAAAACAAGCCTAGTAAAATATCTCAAAGAAAGTCTTTTTTTAAAATTTTTAATTTGAAAGCCCTTGAAATCCTCAACAGTGTTTGAAGAGGGCAGAATGGCGGGAAAGAAGAAAAAGGGAAGTATTGGTTTAGATCCTATTGTCAATAGGATTGCCAAAAAAAAGCAAAGCTTTTAATTTCCTAGAGATGCTTGCACACTATCCCTATTTTAAACACAGAAAATTAGAGGATTTTTTTTTTTTAACAACATGAAATAAAGTTTGCCTCAAATACGAAATAACATAACCAGCATTCTCATCCTGCCGTTTTGGATTAAAAATGGAAATTTAAATTTAACCCAAGATTTGCTCTACTTAGGGCTCAGAAAACTTCAGAAATACAAAACCAGGAGGTAATTCTAGGACTCTACTTTTAAGCCACCAAAATGTATAATTTCTCATTCTCAATTTGAGATGTAATGGTGTTATCAATGCACAATAGCAGTAGTCAAAGCATGCAGTGATGTGACAAAGATGTGACACTGTTCTTGAACTTCTTACTCTGCCCAAGGCCCTTCCACCCTACCCCAAATCATGAGGTTTTCTTCCCCACTTTGCATGACTCCACACTCCAAGTGACCTGCCAGCCAGCTGCATGGATACAGACTAGTCAGCAGAACCTGGCACATGTGGAACTTAAAGGGCAAAGGCTACACTGCTGAAAGAATCTGGAGATTGGCTGTGGCTGCAGGCCAAGGTTTTCAGAGGGTTTCAGTGGGTGACACAAATACAGAGGGCACGTGGTCAGAATGAGCAAATGGAGGTTCACTGGTAACATGGGATTAACACCCATTTATTTTTCCTAACTGTGAGATGGGGGAAAGCTGATTTAATGGGGTGCAGAGATGATTCACAGTATAAGGAAATACAGCAATTGCTGTGACAGATGTTCTAAAAGAAAATGCATTATTTGTGTAGCTTTTGTACTTTTCAACAAATATAGATTAATAGACTGTCTCTAAACTCTGTAGATAATTACTCCAAAGAAGTTTGTGATGATTTCATGCCTTTAGCCTCTAAAGCAAAAGTCTTCCTTTCGTACAGTAGTTTTTAAATTACTGCTTTTACATAAAGTTTTTAGAAAACCCAATTTTGTGTTGTTGAAGTTACATTTGCCATACAGTATATTATCTTGACCATAATGAAAAATTGCAAACTTGGTTCTAAAAGACATAACACGTTACCTGAAACACATTTTGAATGACTGTAGTCATCTCTCTTTCTTTTTCTAAGTTCTGAAGCAACTTCTTTTCAACCAGGCTCATATTTCCTTTTTCCTTCTTTTGTTTTTTATTCATAGTCTGAATTTGCTGTAGTTTTCTTCCTTCCTCTTTTTTTAGTGCTGTTCCATCATTAGGAAGATGAAGTGTTAAAAAGTAGTTAGGTGAGCAGTTAGAACTAAAGATACACTTTTTAACTCTCAGCCACCTAAAGAATTTCCACTGCAATAACCCTAACTTTCCAATCCACCCTTTCCTTCCAATATACCTCAAGACATTTCTTTTACATAAGAGGCAACACATTCTGTGACTATCTGGTATTAAACTACATCAACTCGTTCTCTGGTTGTCAGCAGAACAGAAAGTACCTTGTATGCTGTCTACATTTCTCTCAGATAGGGGCTGTAATTGCAACACATCTTATACCCTGTTTTCAATTGCCAAAACCTTTTAGGTCTTTTTATAAATTTTTAAGGTAATTTCTACTTTTTTAGATTTGGTTGAAATCAAATTCCAAAGTTGTACAAGAAACATTTGGACACCACCAGTGAATATTACTATAATAGGAAACCTGGCTAAAAAGTAGACTGATTAAAACTGTTAAGGGACAGTTCATACACTGAAAGAATGCTGGCAAAGCATTCCATCCCTTATTTGCAACGATATCAAGGATGTTCATTTTTCATAAGAAAACAGTTATTTCATTGTGTTTGTTCCTTACTGTCAACATATGCACAACTCTTTATGTGTGAACCAAACAATAGCTGTTACAAACTGGTGGCAAATCTGGTCATGACAATAGGAGCATTCAAAAAACACATGTACAGTACAAAGTTCTGAATATTGATTTCACATGTAAATTTGACCCATTCTTACAAGACTTTATATATGTACTATGATGAGAGTTTTTAAGTAAATCCCCTCCCTATTCTGCAAACACCTCAGAAAGGTGCAGTCTGACCAAAAAGGAGCTTAAACTAAATAATAAAATGCCGCCACATTGGTTTTGATTATTTTCTTGCATCTCTCTTTACAACACATCAGTCTCATGCTCAAGTAGGCAACATATTAGTTCATTTGTATAGTACTTCCTACTCTTTTAAGAAATTTTATAATTGCGTTGAGAGTTTTGTTACTTCACATGTAAATTAATACTGCTATAAGAACAACTTCAAAATATGAACCATATCTCAAATACAAAACAAAGTCAATACAGCTAACAAACTTACAGAGTCTCTTCTTTTTAATGTCAAACAACTTCTGTTTCTTCTCACGTGCTAGCTGAAAGGAGAAAAAAAAGTATTTCCTAGACTTTTGTCTCCAAAAAATATTGAAAGACACTAATTCAGTTCACAAAAGCATTTAAGGGCAGCTCTAGGAGCTGACTTTCTTACATACTCTCTTCCAGTAACCATTTCAGTAATTTTGACAGTAGTAAGCAACTTAGCTTTACATGATTTGTGCAGTCCTGTTGTTTTCAAAGTGCACTCCTGCCCACACTGAGGTTGGTTGACCTGCACAACTGTAACAGAAGTTACAGTTGCTACTTACCTGCTGATAGTGCATTATTGTCTGGCTGAGCAACATTATGTGATTCACTGTTTCCAGGATCGCACTAATAAAGGAAACACAGTTGCATACCTTAAGACCACAAATATAAGTCAACATCATAAATGTTTAAATTGAGATTATTTGGTTTAAATAAAGAATTTTCCATTTGTCCTAACACCAAAATAACGTTAGGTGTCTGTACCCTTTCTTTTTCACAGTTAGTATACTAAGTATCATTGTAGGGGCCAAATAGTCCCCTTATTTCTTCTCTCAGGTTCCCTAAGGTTTTAGTTTTAGTGTTTTAAGGTTTTAGTGTTTAACATTTTGAAATCACAGAGCATGGAAAGCATCAAAGAACCCTAGCCACCTGGAAATGGCTATGAATTAAAAAGTCCTAAATTCTGGCATGTAGCAGAGACATTATGGAGATGCAATCTCTTCAGCTATATTTCTGACAGGAATTAAATTTCTCACATTACACTTCATATGATTGTGCCCATTAATATTGGGTAGGAAACTAAAAGCTAATTTTAAATATGTTTATTTTTTCAGTTATGTTTCAAAGACTCTTTGTTCCTACATGAATAATTAGTAAAGAGAGCAAAGTAGAGGCAAGGCCCAGTTACAAGCCCATAATATGATCTCAACTATTATAAATGCAGGTAACTCAGGCTCTAAAGGCAAAAAACCCTCTCTTAGTTACAAGTAGTTTTCCTTGGTGAATCAAAATTATGATCTCTATAATCAAAGGTTGGTTAATTCAGAGCCCAAACGTAAATCCACTGTGGGTATATGCTGATTCTAGCCAGAAGGTAGACAATATATCAGTATATATTCAGTCAAACTTGGAAGAAGGAAGCTTGCTTTCAAAAGAGGTACAATGAAGTTATCTAGAAACGTGTCACAATATGACACAGTCCATTCCTTTCTAGCCATCTGACTCCCAAGAACACCTTACCTTGAGTCTTCATCATCTTGATTCACTTTGTTTCTCAGGGCAGCCAAAAGTTGGATCCTGCATAGTGTAAGGAATAACATATGACTGATGAGAACTGATAAGAAATTGAGAGAAGCAGGAAACTGTGGAAAGCAGATTTAAATAAGTAACAGAAAAAGGTAATTTCCAAGGTTCCATTTATGTCCACTTTCATATTGGAATTACATATACAAAATACTGAGTACATTTTAAAAATCACACTTAAATAACAGAACTTAACTCTCAGGACATGGAAGGAGTATTGATGATTATTTGTGAGAGTGATAACTCCTTTCTGTCTTGCCAAACATACCCAGACATGATTAATCCCAGAGTGTGCAGAAAAGAAGCTGGGCAAAGGTAGGAATTCAAATGAACAGCCATGTAACACAGGAGATGTCTAACACTATCAACTTCCACTTTTTCATAAGCATTTATAAAATACTGCCAAGAAATATGCGTATGGATTTACACAGTCACACATTCACAATTGTGAGGGAACTTTCACGTTTATACATTTCATCTGACAGGGGTTTTTTTTTGTTCTCTACAGCATTTCCATCTGCATTCCTATGGTTTGATAGTACTAAAATCTTCCCACCTCCTCATATATCACTTTGAAATTCCATTTTAACAAGACTAATGTATATATGCATTTATGTATGCATATACAGGGAGGAAAACTCCAAATAAAGGGGGAAGAAAATTCTACCTTTGCAAGGCTAGTGTCTTGTTCCACAAAGAGACTTCTACTTCCTCTTTATTTATTTGCAAATCTTCTGTTGTACTGAAGGGAAAAAAAACCAAAATCAACTAGACAGACAAACCCAGTGTGAAGATAACAAGAAGTTTAAAAGCAATGTCACATTTTAACTTTTATCTACATATATAACGTAAGAATTTTTCATGTGAACCACAAATTATTAAGACCAGGAGTAATTTAGCATGTAGGACCATATTATGAATTCTAGCAATCACATGAAGGACTGCAAATTTAGAAGCTGCATCACGTAGAGAACTACATTAGGAGATTGAGTAAAGCATTTCTTCCCCACATTTTCTGTTAAATTTCATTATTTTCACCAAAGTACTGCAAAGTACTGATTGTTAATCCAGAAATTCACTAAGGAAGCGTAACTAGAAGAGAACCTCCAAGCTTAGTTTCTAACCCTTCTTTTTATTTTAAAATACATTAAAAAATCAAAGTTATCCAGTGACATACCTTTGGATACTCTTTTCTTCAACAGCACGATCAAGGAAAGGTGTTTGACCTGCAAAAGAGAAATATCACTAAAGAAAGCCCAGTATAGACTTTCACACACAATCTATAGAGCATAAAGGATCAGCATTTTTTTGTCTAGCAAGCTATTTCTTATTTCTATCTCCAAACCTTATAATCTCTTTTACTGTTACTGAGATTATATTATCAATCAGCTGTATCAGAGAAATAATTAGATTTTAAAATATTTTCATTTAGCACTTTTTAGATGTGCTAGAGCTGACTCGTGGCATTGCTCTATATATGCAGCTGGATGGTTCAGAGGAAGTGATGTACCCTGCCACATCCTGGGCTGCATCAGAAGCGCAGCCAGGAGAGCAAGGAAAGTGATTCTGCCCTTTGACTCTGCCCTTGTGAGACTCCACATGTAGTACTGTAAACAGCGCTGGTGTTCCCAACATAAGAAGGTCATGGATCTGTTGGAGCAAGACCAGAAAAGGGCAATGAAATTGATTAGAGGGGTAGGGAGTTGTTCAGCCTGGAGAAGAGAGACTCTGGGATGACCTTACCAAGTCCTTCCAGTATCTGAAGGGAGCCTACAAGAGAGCTGGAGAGAAACTTTTCACCGGGGCATGTAGTGACAGGACAAGGGGGAATGCCTTTAAACTGAAAGAGGAGAAGTTTATATTAGATATAGGGATGAATTTCCTTATTTTGAATGTGGTGAAGTATTGGCACAGCTTGCCCAGAGCTGTAGCTACCCCATCCCTGGAAGTGTTCAAGGCCAGGTTGGATGGGGCTCTTGAGCAGTCTGGTCTAGTGGAATGTGTCCCTGTCCATGGCAGGGGCTGTGGAACCAGATAGTGCGTAAGGTCCCTTTCAACCTAAGTAATTCTATGATACCCCATCTCGGTCCCTCCTTGCCCAGGCAGACAATCGACAGGCTATCCCAGAAGTCCTCAGATGATTGAAACACCTTAAATCAGTATTGCTGCCACACACTTTGGTAGACTTTTGGCAAGACTTCAGCCCCAGTGACCAGATTCCTGAAAACCCTCACGACATGCCAGAGGAGTCTAAAGTGCAAACCCAGAAAAAGGGGGAAAGGGCAGTGGGCGACAACCACACGGCATCTTTGTAAGCATTCTAACACGTCTCAAGAGCCGCCTAGAAAACGCGGTAAAACGCGTAGCCAAGAAAAACATTTCATTATTGTAACGAGCACTTCCGACGGATAATTAAAAACATATATATAAATATATACATATATACGTATGTATAAACCACGTGGCATTATTTGATAGTGTAAGATCCCGCTTACCGTCACGAATGGCCGAGCTGTACTCCGTGAGGTGCTGCTTCATCTCGTCCCGCAGACTGCAGAGAAAAGCGACAACGGTCAGAGGCTGCGCATCCCGCCATCCCACCCGCCAGGCTGCACCCCGTCTCGTCCCGCCGGCACTGACCGGAACAACCGGAGGACACCCATGTCGTGGCCGCCCTGGGGCCACGCCGATACCCTGCCCTGCTCCAGCTCCTGCTCCTGCTCCAATTTCCTGGGCAGCGCCGCCATCACCGCCATTCAAACCGCGCGGCTCCCGGCGGCCCGCGCGCCCCGCGCCTGCGCCGAGCAGCGGGGCGGGGCCCGGCCTGAGGGCAGCGCGGGAACGTGTGGGTGATGTGGGCAGCGAAGGCAAAAGAAAACAAAAAAATATCGCTGAGAGCAGCAGACAAAGCGCCGCAATCCTTCTGTCTGACCTACTGCTCTCCTAGAAGCAGAGTCAACAGGTGTAAGCCACTAACACAAGTATACTACTGTAAATGCATACTGAGTGAGAAGACCTGCACCCTTTAGAACCACAGACTTTAGGGTTAAGAGAGACCTTTAAGATGAAGTGCAGCTGTCAACCCAGCACAGGCATCGTGTTCACCATTAAACCATGACCATATTCACACTTTCTTTTGAACAGTGTCAGAGATGGTGACTCAGCCACATCTCTGGGCAGCCTGTTCCAAGGTCTGACAACTCTGGAAGGCAGGTGTGTTTGTCTGAAGGATGGCAGGGTACAGGTTCACCAGCTGACTTCCTCCTCAGAGTCCCCAGTACTTCCCAGCCTTTCTCCTTCCTTTCTCAGCTCTGCCACCAGGCTGAACAGATCATCCACCTGACACAACTCTTTGCTGCTCTCTGAGTCCAATCTGGCAGACATTCTGCCACATGTTAGCAGAGCCTGTATCAATGCTCCCATCTATACACCTCAAGGGAGGACCAGCCACACCACCTGGGCTGGCCCAAGAGCTCACCCAAGCTCTCAGAGCACGGGTTACAGCTTCCAGGGAGGTGCCCCAACTGTAAAAGGAAGCTAACTGTACTACCCTCCTCCCTCCCTTCCCCCCCACCCCTGGATAAAACCCCACAAATAGTAGCACATCTTCAATAAGTTTAACACAGATAAAGTACTTTATATGTATACAGCAAAGAGCATTGTGGTTGAGTTCACATGGGAGTTACGACTTTTTGACTAGAGGCTCAGATAGATCCTGTGTAATAGAAGAGTGCAACTATCTGACAGTGCTTATCTTGATGTTGGTACTGGTAGTATATTTCTTCATGATTGCCTACAGGGAAATAAGGTTATGTTTTCCCCTGTTCATGAAATAGTGCTATTCCAGCTCACTCAAGACTTGGTGGTCAAACCAAGCCATTCTAGCACACGAGCCTGGGTCACAGCTGACTCACACCACTTGAGTGAGATAAAGATTTTCAACTGAAGTGAGCAGGTCTTATCCAAGTCTGACAACAGCAAAGGCAGCCCCAGCGCACCATGTATTGACACTTAACTACACATACCCCCTCACCCTGCACTATAAGATTCTTACCTTCTGGTGGCAGCACCCTTATTCACAAGGACTACATTCTTTGCCATATACTGCATAATTGGTAGAAGGTCACTCCCAGTGTAAAACATGCAATGTTGCAGAGATGGTAACTGAAAGGCAGGGAAGCCATTAGACAAACCTATTAGAATAATCCAGGTACACTATGTTCTTGGTCTTCAGTCTGGCTTAGGCAATTGTGTTCTCTTGTCTCACAATGGGAGGTTAACAGATGCTGCTGTCCCCTTGTAGTGGATGACAGGGAGACAGGAACATGGTGAAATACCATGAGGAAAGGAAGAGGCATGGACCTGGCCCAGAGTGGCCTTTTAAGCTGATGCACACTGAGTTTTAAACTAGGAGGTGGTCTGCCAAGTACAATTTACCAACTCATGTCCATCGAGGAGCTTCAGAGGCAAACAGAAAACAGCTGCTGCAATCCCAGATGGAGGGAGGTGATCCATATCATAGTCCACAATGCACAACTCCATCAGGTACTTGGCAAGAACATATTGTTTGGAGCCCACCTGCAGTAAGTCAGAGTTAAGTACTGGCTATATCCAAGGGAAGAGTACCCTGTCAAGCCTTGGTTTGGTCAAGAAAGAAGAAAAAAATCCTTAGAGACACTTTCAGAACTACAGGCCTGAAGTTCAAGTGGCTTAATCATAGATTAGTTCTGAGTTATATTAGGCTGCTCATAGTCTAGGACCATCCCTTTCAATGGCAGTCTAGCAGTTATCCACTGTATTAGACAAGCATTTTAACACCGAGTTTGGATGTGTGAGGCTTGTGCCACAGAAGAGACAAATAAACCTATTTCAATCAGGCTTATTTGCTAAACTCTTGCAGTACTCAAAAGATTCGAAACATTTTAAGAAGTTGACACAAAAGTTGCTTTTTCAGATGCAGGTTACAGTAAAACCTATTCTCAACACTACCTCTGCAATCTTTGAAGTTCTCAGGAAGTGCGGACGGAGAGGGAAACCCAGAAAAAAGTATAGTGCTTTCAAGATCATCATCTCCATCTGGCAGATCTGGAACTTCAAGTAAGAGTAATTGGTTACATAGCTAAAATCTGCAATATGTGGGGACCTTCTCTCTTTGTATTTGCTGGCAAAGAACAAAAGCTGTGATACTAATCAGTTGCAACTTTGTCTCAGGAACAGGATTGTCCTGTAGCAAGTAGCAGTAGTGATTTATGTGATAGATTTGGCTCGGAATACAGGTTTTCAAGGTAGTCAGTGTAAGGTGCATTCTATGGTGGATTCATACTGGCCCATATAGAATACCTATACATTCTCTGTTACCTCTGTTGGGATCTGCAGGGGGATTAGAAGGCTTTGAGATCAAATCACAGGGGGAGGAGTAAGCCGTTTTGAGACATCAGGTCACTGCTCGTAGTTGAAGTTTACGTGGTGTATACAACTGAGGACCAAATGTCCTTTGTTGTTCAGCTATGTTTTGCTAAGGGTCACATGTCCAACCATGTATGGTGTTACTGATCAACACTCGTTATGCTTTAGCTTGAGAGAAAAGCGTTGCCTGGCACTGGGCAAGAGACACTCACCGGCAAGAAGTGATCAGTGATTGCAACAGTCATGAACAAGGTCTCCTCTTGGAGTTTGAATTTCTCACGTACTTTAGCAAGCCAGTCTATTACTACAGCATGCACATTCCCATCAATTTCCTTTCCAGCCAGGTATTTGCATTTGACAGGTTTGTTTTCCTGTGTGGAAGGAATAGAGTTAACAGATATAGTAATTTAGCTGAAGCATCTAGCCTCAGTGGCACTGCAAGGCATAAATCTTGGAATCATAGAATCATTTAAGGCTGAAAAAGACCTCCAAGGTCAAGTCCAACCTATAACTGAACATCACCTTGTCAACTAAACCACAGCACTACATGCCATGTCCAATTGTTTCTTGAACATTTTCAGGGACAGTGACTCTATCACCACCCTGGGCACCAATTCCAATACCTGACCATCCATTCAGTAAAGAAATTCTTCTTCATGTCCAGCCTGAACCTCCCCTGGCACAGCTTGAGGCCTTTTCCTCTTCTCCTGTCTTTATCCTTATCAAGGATTTCGGTACAGACAGCCCATAGGTGTAGGCCACTGGGCACAAAGGTTTCCTTTTTTACTAGACATCGGCTAGAAGGAGGATAGTACTAGTACTGCTAGTTGATTGGTCTAACGACCAGCATCTGTTCATGTTATCAGCTCAGTTTAATCTTGTATTTTAAGTTGAAGGAGTGCTTATTAATACCTCTGGAGGAACTACAGGTGAAAGTGAATACCGGCTCCAAGCCACGTCTACAGGCTTTTTCTCATGTCATCCTTGAGCTCACTGCAAGTGTCAGTAGATGCCTACTAACTTCCAGGTGCCTCAGATACTTGTAGATGTCCTTCACATAGCTGCTGCACAGGTTTGCATTGTCACCATCTTCCGCAACCAGGTCTCCAGGCTCAAGGGTGACATGAGAAAAAGCCTGACACAACATCTCTGCTGTTGGAGCACATCTAGATTCTTCCATGAGAGTTGGAAACTGCAGCTTCGGCTACAAGGAAATTCAGTATCAGTGCAGACAGCACCTCCCTCTGCCGCCCAGTATGGACCAAGCTGCACTCAGAAACCCTGCTCACGACCTCTATTTCAGGGCACCGACTAAATCCACAGGGGCAGCCTAGCCCTGGGCTGGGGAAGGGGTGGAAGATCCCAAGGAAGCAGTGGGCCTGGTACCTGGGAGCGCTTTGTCTGGGGCTCTGGTGGTGGCTTCGGAGATGGGTTCGGGGCTGGAGGCTGCACATCCTTCTTAAAGGCCACCCTCAGCGGCCTCCTGGTGACCACATACCCCCGAGCGGGGGCGGGCGCGGGCCCGACGGTCGGCTGCCACCGATGGCCCCCTTGCACCGCCGACCTCTTGCAGGCTGCTCGCACCTTAGGGTCAGCTACACGGTTGCTGATGTCCCCAAGGGCGGTGCGAGGACGCAGCCCCATATTGGCTCCCGCGATAGCCCCGCGCTTAGCGGTCGGCGGCGCGCTCCTCTTGGACGGGGGGCTGCAGAGCGGAAATGCTTTTGCAGAGAGAGCGAAGGGCGGTCAGCGGGACACCGGCACCGGGAGTATGTGTACGAGAGGGCTGCGCCGCCGCACCCCGGACAGCGGGAACAGGGGCAATCGGAGAGCGCTGCAGGCGGCCCCGGCGGGCTGGAGGAGCTAAGCAGGGGGAGGACCGCACGGCTCCGGAGCCGTAGATGCGGAGATAAGGGACTGCACGGCTGCTCCCCTCCACACCTGAGGGCTGAAGGGGAGCCGAGCACACTGGCAGCCCTCCCCACCAAGCAGAGACCGGGGTGAGCGGAGGAACCCAAAGCGCTGCACTGCTGCACCCTCTCTGCCCGCCACGCTGAAAAGAGGGAAAGGGAAGGAAGGAGCAGGACACGGAAGGGCCGCGCGGCTGCCTCCCCCCGGGCCAGGACGACACCCCGCTCCGCACCCCCGCCCGCCCCATTCTGTGCCGGGCCCTTCACGCACCTACCCGGGTGGCCCTCGAGGCCATGGCGGAGCGGAGGGACCGGACAGAAGGGGCTCAGAGGGACCAGAGAGAGATGCAGAGCCCCAGCAGTATCGGGCAGACGGACCGCAGGAGAAGAGATGGAGCTCCACTAGCATCCGAAGGATGAAGGCCGGTGCACCGTCCCGTAATTAAAACTCCCACGGCCGCCGCGGCCCCGCCCACGGTACTGCCCTGAAGGCGGGCGAGTCGTGCCGCCTGTGCGGGCGCCGCCCCCACTTCCCTCGCTGCCGTCCTTCCGTCTCGAGTGGTTTTGCAACCAGGAAAGTCAAGATGCAGAAAATAAAATATTACTGAAAAACATTAACTGCTTCCCCATTATGTACACATCATACTGCATGCTGTCGGACTCTGTTTTGAACTTCATCGTTCAAAGCGTTTTGTTGCAACTCTGTGTGCAAGTGACTTGTCTGTGAAGTATCCAGGTATGAGCTCATCTTCACTGCCATGATCACGGTCCCAGACACCTGATTTGTTTTGGGTTCTGCCACTAGCAGCTGAAGTAGGAAATTGGCATTTGTAAAAGGAAGCTGTGGCAAGCAGCTTTTCAGTTATGTCAACCTAATGATTTGAAAGGACAGAATCACATCCCCCCTTCCACTTTTCACCTACATGTCACAATGAGGTTTGGCGAAATACTGTAAAGTCTAGTACAATCCCTCAAAACAGGAGTGGCATGTGTAAACATTAACTGAAGCTTTTTGTTTGAGAATAGTTTTCAAAAGATCCACTCTACTTATAGGTTGAGCATAATTGTAGCACTGCTATTCAAGTGACAAGCCTTCTGGAGGAGATAATGTAAAAAAACCACTGCCAAATGTGCATATGGACAAAAACTAGGATCCAGCTTTGAGAAGACTGCTGGCTCTGCAGCACTGTCCTGAGACATTGTGATTTGTGCACTCATTCTTCATTATCCAACACAAATGCAATTGCAACTTCTAGAAACTTTCTGACCACAATTTTTCAAGTCAGTCTTGTACTGCAGATGGCATTGTAACATATCACAGGAGAAACAAACTCATCTAAGAGCAACAAAACAAACCACTCAGCTCATATAAACAGTTCCAAACAGTTCCAAAACAAGACAAGCAGAATTGCTCAAGGACAATTCAAACACCCAGTCACAAGAAAAGCAGAAAGGCTGAAGGACATTTCAAACTGCATTCCTGGTAAATCTGATCTGACAATATAGTTCCTAAAACACTCTATTCTCCCACTAACGTCCAGTCTGTTCTCACTATAACAATACTTAGGAATCACTGAATATCAGATATAAGAAAACAATATGCCAAAATAATACTGCCGTGATACACGGGATGATGAAAGACGTACGTACTCATTCTTGCTAACATTCTTGATTTGTTGAATTCCAAGGAAAATTCTTAAAAGCTGCAGACAAGCAGAAAAGGGGGCACAGGAAGCCTGTGAACACATGTAAGGCTAACTACCTCTGAAGATGTATGTTATTAACCTGGTGGCAGGCATTCACTAAAGACACAGATTTGTTTTCTTCGCAGTATTAAGACAACAGCATGCACAAAACCTTCTGGAACACACTCTTTCACGTTCCAGTTAAGAAGTCTCAATTTACTGTTCATTTCAGCAGCTTGCCAGGTCCCAGACTACTGTCACAGTTGGGAATTCTAAATCTGGACAGCATCCTTGGGTAATACACAAAAGTACAGCTTGCTACAGTACACCTTCAGCTATGCTGTGGTATTACTAAAAAAATTATGTAAAAAAATTAAGTAAAAACAATGTATCTTGAAGAGGCAAAGTTTAGCTGAGTGCTAGGATGCTTTCAGACTTCAAACTGTTGCATTTCCAGTTATTCATACAAAAAAGTACAAAAGATTTATTTTACAGAGTGGTTTGAGTTATGATTCTGAGTCTTCCCAGGAAAGAGAAAGTGTCTTCATTTTTTCCCCCTCCCAATTTCCCACTGTTAACCTGTGGATTTCTCTTCTTAAAACATAATCTGATACAAATGTAACATGGTAACATGTATTTGCTCTGGTGCACTAAGTTTAGAAATCAGATTTGTATGCTGAGACAAAATAAAAAAACTGTAGTCTTCTATTATCTAACACAGTATGTAAAACAAATGGCTTCCTGATTTTTGCTCCCCATAATAAACAAGTATTTTTTTTTCACTCAAAGCCTTCAAGCTATCTTTGAAAGAAAGAAAAATACTCTCCAGTTGATTATGTTTGCATTCTGGTATCAACTATTTCCATATCCCACTGCTAACAAAATACAATACCAATATTACAAATTTAAGAGAAAGTATGGAATATATCCATGCTCATCTACAAGTTGCAAGACTTCTGTTTAATAAACACCAAGTATAGTATTTAAGATTCCAATTATTTTCACATATACAGCCAATATTCAAGTCCTTACTTCCTTTATAAAAACATTTTGATCCAATTAATAAAGACAGTACACTTAAAAAAATTCAAATTTATAGTACATTTGTTTCTGTACATGTATAAATCTCCTGGCAAAAACACAAATACAGAATCTAACAGCTTCACCATTTACACCTCCTTTGGTGAACACAACTTTGTATCACATGATGTAAGTACCATCTTTGTAATATTTCATGGATTCTAGTTGCTGAGTCATTGCAAGAACATCCTGAAATCCCGTACTGAGTCCAGACATGTGTTGAAAATAAGCCTCCTTCTCCACTTGGACAGTTAAGTTGTTTACGCCAGCATCTTTCAGAATTGCTGTGACCTGAATAGAACAGTATGTTAACATTAGTATTATACTTCATATGTATCTCACAATAACTTGCAGTGTTCTGGCTCTGAAATGCTGTACAGGAAAAAAACCCTTATCATAATCATTACTTCAGAAAAGCCTTTGACAGCATCTGCCATAGCATACTCCTGGAAAAGCTGGCAGGCAGCCCACAGCTTGGACAGGGGCACTCTGTGCTGTGTTAGGAACTTGCTGGAGGGCCGGGCCCAGAGAGTGGTGGTGAACGGGGCTGCATCCTCTTGGCAGCCGGTCACTGGTGGTGTCCCCCAGGGATCAGTGCTGGGCCCAGTCCTGTTCAATATCTTTACTGATGATCTGGATGAGGGGATTGACTGTACCATTAGCAAACTTACAGATGACACCAAGTTGGGGGCAGTGCTGATCTTCTGGAAGGCAGGAGGGCTCTGCAGAGGGACTTGGACAGGGCTGAAATAAATGCGATGAATCCCATGGTATGATGTTTAACAAGGCCAAGTGCCAGGTCCTGCACTTTGGCCACAACAACCCCCTGCAGCGCTACAGGCTGGGGACAGAGTGGCTGGAGAGCAGCCAGGCAGAAAGGGACCTTCGGGTTCTGATTGACAGGGAGCTGAACATGAGCCAGCAGTGTGCCCGGGTGGCCAAGAAGGCCAATGGCATCCTGACCTCTATCAGGACTAATGTGGCCAGCAGAACTAGAGAAGTGATTGTTCCCCTGTTCTCAGGACTGGTTAGGCTGCACCTCAAATCCTGTGTTCAATTCTGGGCCCCTCAGTTTAGGACGGACATTGAGGTGCTGGACTGTGGTCCAATGAAGGGCAGCGAGGCTGGTGTAGGGACTCAAGCACAAGTCCTGTGAGGAGAGGTTGAGGGAGCTGGGGTTGTTTAGTCTGGAGAAGAGGAGGCTCAGGGGAAAACCTATCACTCTCTACAACTACCTGAAAGTAGGTTGTAGCCAGGTGGGTATCAGTCTCTTCTCTGAGGAAACCAGCAGTAGGACAAGAGGGTCTTAAGCTGTGCCAGGGGAGATTTAGTTTAGACATTAGGAAGAAGTTCTTTACAGAGTGTCGTGGGTTTGCCAACCAGCCCCCCTCGGGCGGAAAATAGTTTTTCCAGGTGGATTTCCAGAGCAAAGTCAATCAAAAGTTTTAGTAACACCTCTGCCAATTACATATTTAAGAAAATGGAAGAGAAGCTGTGTGGTACAGAAGAAATTAGGAGCCATGTAGGGGGAGGTGGCAGGCCCCAGGTGTGGGTCAGGCCTCCTTCCTCCCCCTGGCCCTGGGCTGGGGGCAGGTGTGTCACTGAAGTCCCCCTGGCCGAGACATGTAACAGAGTGGAGGAAAAACTCTAAAGAAAGACTGCCTGGATGAGACATGCTGCAGAAGGAATTCCAGGCAGAGAACGCAGCCTCCAAGGTCAAAGCTGGCAGCTGGAGGAGAGGGAAGAGATGCCTTGAGGAGGGGGGAGACTCCTTCTCTCCCCCCTCTCTCTCCCTTCAGCAGGGAAAAGACTGAAAACTAAAAACTCCTGCCATCTGTGGAAGATTATGAATGAGGAGACACCTTGCAGCTCATGAAAGAGCCCGTGCTGAAGCAGGTAAATGCATGTGAGCGTACGAGAAGGCTGTGACCCTGTGGGAGGCCTAAGATGAAACAGTCCTGCTGGAGACCTGTGGCCCATGGAGATAGAGGAGAAAATCATCCCGGATAGGACTTGTGATCCCACTGAGGGATCCATGCTGGTGCTGCTGAATTTGTGGCCCCAAGGGACAGCAGAGAATGGAAGACCTGTTGCTCATGCTAGAGAGATCTATCAAGGACTGTCTCTCGTGAGGAGGGACCCCAAAGGAAACAGAGGAAGGACTCAAAGCCATTATCCCCTGTAACTGGGGTGAAGACCATGGTAAGGCAAGTGTCCCCTTGCAGTCCATGGAGGACCCTACAGGGCCTGGGTAACCCCCAGCCTCCAGCCTTAGCCCAGGAGGGGGTGGCCCTGAGGCCACCACAGTAGAGAGAGAAAGAGAGAGACATTTCCAGCTGTGACAAATTGGAGCTGTTGTCCTAGAGATAACAGCAGAAGAACTTTCAAGTGCTGCAAAATTATTTAGAAGGTCTGTAGCTCTAGAAGTGGAAAAGAGATTGCTTCTCCTCCTAAACTGATACAAGGGGGGAGGGGTACTCCTGTATATACATAGCACTTTTGCCTAGTTAGAACTGTTGTATATATAGTTCTTTAGTTTTTATCTTGCTAGTAATAAATCCTAATACTATTCTCCCAACATCAGATTTCTTTTGTCTGCATAAACCTTCTCTCAACTTATAGCAATTGTGGGGGGGGGTGAGAGAAAATTGGTCCA